CCCCACACCTTTCACACCACCTGGAGCCAAATCAAAGGATGCTGGGAGGTGCTTACCCTGAAAGTTGGATAATACTGAATCCCATACTCTTTGCACTGCTCGTAGTTCTTCTCATCTCCGCAATCCAGCACGCCAATCCGGATAGCGGGCTCCCACTCTGAAAGGAAACAAGGGGTGGGAACCTTTCATTGGGGCGCAGAAAGTGTGCACCCCACAATTCCAAGGCTCTCCACATCTGGGAAGACACATTGCCTGCATTTTCCCAAGCAGGTTCCCCTCCGCAAAGCTGGGTTCCCAGATGTAGGCAGTCGTTGATTTACAACCGTAATGGAGCCCAAATTTCCACTGCTAAGCAAGACTGATGTCCAATGAGTTTTGCTCCATTTTATGACCTGTCTTGCCACAGAGGTTAAGGGGATCACTGCAGTTGCTAATAACATGGTTGTTAAGTGGCTTCCCCCTTGATTTTGCTTGTCAGATGGTCCCCAAAGGTGACACTGCGATTGTCATAAATGCAGGCCAGTTGCCAAGTGTCTGAATTTTGATCATGGGGCTGCTAAAATGATTGTAAGTGTGGAAAACAGTCCCTTTTTTCCAGTGCCGTTGTAACTTCAGTCATTAAACAAGTGGTTGTTAAATCTACAGGCTTTGGACTTGACCCTGCAGACCAAAGTAGAAGAAATACATAAGGGCTCAAAAGCTCACTTTAGTGCTAGTCAACCCAGACCAGGCATTATAGAAAGGAAAGAAATTAAAGCAGCATTTATGCCTTTTGTCAATCTGGGAGTTGAAGTTCACGCATCTTAAAATGACTAAAGTTAAGAAACACGACTAGACTATGTGAGACAGAAAGATTCTACAGAATAGAATAGAAAGGTAAGTAGTTTTAAAAGAAGCTTGTTCTTTAACAAGCACAGATCCAAAGACAAAATGAGCATATTTGAAAACCCCAAGAAATAAAACCCATCCTTTAAAAAAATGCAATTTTTCTTCTATAAAAAAAGGGTGGGAACTTAGAAGCATCATTTATTCCTCAAATTTATGCAGTCTCCCATCTCGCCAGAAGCGACTTAAAACCCCAAGCCAGATGTTCCTTGCAGGGCTGCAAAAATATCCACTTTCTCTTTGTTTTCTTATTAAAAAGATGTGGCATTTAGGAACAGGGTGCAAATGGCCATTGTAGACGGGACGCTGTCCACGCAACAGGCGCCAGGATAACCATCAGCATCCCGGAACAGATGGGCACAATAGGGAATGAGCTAGTTTGTTGCTAAAAAAAGCACAAGCCTGAAACTGTTTGGCTTCGGGTTATCTGCTTCATTCATGATCACGGCTGTTCTTCTCTTCTTCCCCCCTCAACCCCCCCATCTCCAGCCCTACAACTGCAATGAAAGGAGCCTTACAAAGGACATGCAAATGTTGTTTGTCCTTTTCACAATGCAATCCAGCCTCAACCCAAACACTTGGTTAAGTGCGCCAGCTGGGAAGCAGGTCTGGGCCATTCACAAAAGGCAGAGGGGAAAGGAAAAGTTGGCTTCTCAGGTTACAAGAGGGGGGTCCTGGGACACTGCAACTGTCATAAATACAGTACACGCCAATGGCCAATCTTTAGAATTTTGATCATGTGATGATGCAAGTGTGAAAAAGGGTCAACGTCACTTTTTTCAGTGCCATTGTAACTTTGAATAAGTCGAGGACTCTCTGCACTGCTTCTCAGTAACTGTAAGAAAGCAAACTGTGATGATATAAGACCAGCGTTGGTCAACCTCAGCAACTTTAAGATGAGTGGATCTCAACTCCCAGAACTGCTAGGTGGGGGATTCTAGGAGTTGAAGTCCACTCATTTTAAAATTGCTGAGGCTGACAAACACTGTGTTAGGCTACTGACTATAAGAGGCAGCTTCCTACGCGCTTGCTTTGCACAAGGTGCACCTTTTAAGCCAAAGTGGCTGCCAAACCAGAAGAACTAGCTGCTAAATAACAAACATTTCAAAATTTCCGACATTTCTTCACCATCCAAAGGTTCCCACGCCAAATACAGTGTGTCCTCTCAATGCCTTCCCAATGTTTACTCTCTTTAAGCCACTACAAACTAGAGGGAATGTGTGGAAAGAGCGTGCTGTTGCACAAAGCCTGCAAATGGCCCCACTCAGCTGAACACATAAAAGAGACCACACTGTTATAGACACGTTGCCTTACAGTGTTTACAAAATATGCTTCCCTTCTCAACTGCTGAGATATTATTTCAGACTGACACATCCATTTCTGATTGGACAAAAGGCATCTATGCTCCAATGCAGCCCATGAAACGGGGCAAAAGATTCCCAAAGTTTCTTTGATGGGTAATATTCAGTAATAAAAAATCAGTATTCTCTGGAAACTACTTTTTCAATGACATGAGGATGCTAGGAGTGAACCTGCAATGCAACAAATATATGCAAAATACAGTAAGTTCATCCTGGAGAAAACCTGTCTATGGGGCTGCTAAGAATCGACACTGATTTGATGGTGCATAGTCAACCAATCAAGTGAAGAGTACAGGAGCCTTCAGAACTTGTTGGACTACAAGTCCCAGCAGCCTCGGCCAGAACGTCAATGGTGAGGTCTCTGGGAATTGTGGTTCAGCTGTCTGAAGAAGTCTAGTGTTTCTCACTTCCAACTCTCCCATGATAAGAAGGCAGGAGGACATCTTGCCTCAATGAAGCCCATATCTTTCCACACTGCCCACGCCAGCTGGGAGTCAGCCCACTGATCCCCCCCAGAACTCTGGGCCTCAGTTGTATCAGGAGATCTTTGAAGGGGGATCTCTGCAACCAAAGGACCTGCTCTACTGCTCCGCAGGGTCCTGCCCATCCATGGACATAGGATCCAGCCTATGGAGAAGCCCTGGAGCATCTTTCTCCAGATGGGCAGCCGGCAGAGGAGATGGCTAAGTCCATCACTCCCGTCCCCCCCCCCCCAAGGAGGGAATGATGGGAGTTGGAGGTCACCATTTCTGGAAGATTGCTCGGAGAGAGTAGAGGATTCGGTGCTTATTGTGGAATAATAATAAAAAAATCTGGAGAGTGGAAAATTACACTTTGCAAACTCTCTCAGCTTGCAAAGGACCTTCCTTCTTGGGCAAATGGTTGCAAGTTCTCCTCGGGGTCCGGAACCCTTAGAAGGAAGATCAAAGGGATCGGGGAGGATGCGAAAACGACCCCCCCCCCGGCCAGGATCGCCCTGCAATTAAACGCCCTTTTCCCACGAAGCGGCCTTTTCAGCCCCGCTTCCCCAACCGGGCGCCCTCCAAGGCGATCGCCTCCCCTCGGGCTGGGGATGATGGGCAGGAGGGCGCTGGGTCGGGCAAGGCAGGCTGTGCCAAGGGGGCCTCTTCCCGGAAGGCTGGACTTTCTCCCCCATCCTCCCCGGCTCACCGTGGACGTCCCCCGCCAGGGCGCGCCAGGTGGGCGCGAAGGCCACGCAGTGTCCGCAGGACGACGAGTAGAACTGCACCAGCCAGGCCGAGGCCGCGTCCCGCAGCGCCTCCCGCACCGAGCCGCCCTCCAGCACCCACACCGGGTCCACGCCGGCCTGGTACAGCCCCGCCCCGGCCGGCGAAGGCGCCGCCACCGCCAGCAGCGCCAGGAGCCACCGCAGCGCCCGCCGCGGCCCCAGGGGCGCCGAACCGGAACCCAGCCCCGCCGCCGCCGCCGCCATGCCCGGTGCGGAAGGCCGGGCGCCACCCAGGCCTCCAGGCCGCCCCTGGCAACGGGCCGCCGGCCCTGGAGACGGGGGCGGGCTCTCCGCACCGCCCACCGCCCAATCAGCGGCCGAGGCGGTCCGGGGGGCGGGGCTTCCCGGCCTCCGTCAAGCGGGCGCTCTTCGGCCGGGGGACTTTTGACGCGGAAGGCGGATTCCGCCTCGCCTTCGGGTCCGGACCTCGGAGCCCATCATCCCCAGGCCGGCTTCCTTTCCCCTTCCCCTCGGGGCGGACGGGCGGCTGTTCTTCGTTTTGGCGTGATTTGCAGGAGAGACTTTTAATTTTCTTTCCTTTCTTTCTCTTCCTTCTTTCTTTTTCTTCCTTTTTTCTTTCTTCCTTCCTTCCTTCCTTCCCTTCTTCTTTCTTCATTATATTTTCCTTCCTTCCTTCTCTCCACCTTCCTTTCTCTCTTCTCTTTCCCTTTCCTCTCCGTCTGTCCTTGTGCCTTATTCACTTTCTTCTCTCTCCTTCCTTCCCCTTCCCTCCTGCCATCCGTCCCTCCTCGTTCCTTATCCTCTTTCTCTTCTCTCTCTCTTCTCCCCTCTTTCCCCCTCCCTAGAAGTTCCCATAAATGAGCCGAAGCCAGCCCCAAACTCGTGTGGGGCATCTGGGCTCTGTGCCCCCTAAGAGGCGTCTCCCTTTGCTGCGGCCGTTGTGCTGCTGCGGGGACAGCCGGAAGGAGATGGATGACTTGAAAATTAAATGCAGAGTTTAACTGAGAAATAATCATTTTCTATGAAAGCTAATGACTTCTCTGGAGGCCCCTACGAAGATTTATTGACCCTAGAGGTTAATATTGATCAAAACCACAGCAGGCACAAAAAAAATAAAAAAAAATCAGACCTTGAAGTAAGTATAATCTTGATATTGAAACCTTGCCAGTGACAGGCAGGGTGATCCATCTCAGTCCCATCAAGTGCATCAGGCAGTTGTGGCTCCGGGTGTTTAATGCATTGCCATCCTCGGTGTGCGCCAGTTTTGCTCATCGGCGCCTTCGCTTTGTGACGGGGGCCTTCTTTTCCACATGTGAGCCACAGAAGAAAAGGGCCCCATCCTTTTACAGGTGGTCCTCAGCTTACGGCCACAACTGAACCTGAAGTTTCAGTTGCTAAGTGAGAAATTGGTTGTGAGCTTTGCCCCGTTTTACGACTTCCCCACTGATTTCGTTTGTCAGAAAGTCGCAAAAGGGGATCGCCTGATCCCAGGTCAGTCATAAACATGAGCCAGTTGCCAAGCGTCTGAATTTTAATCATGTGACCACAGGGATGCTGCAGCGGTTATAAGTGTGAAAAGCAACCATAAGTCCCTTTTTTCAGTGCCGTTGTGACTTTGAACAGCCAGGGTGCAAGCTGAGGACCACCTGTATTTGTTTTTAAAGCAACTATAATTTCCCTCTCCATTTTTACGCTGAGATTCGAATGTGAGAATGGAAAGAAGTCTCAGGCACGAGGAGAAGAGCCTAGACCTTCTGCAGGGAGGTGGCAAGGTGGGGAAAGATCTTCAGCTTCAGAAGATGCCACTGAATCAGGTGGAGAAGGGAAATCAAGGCCGGAGGTGGCCTCCTCATCTTTTCCACTTAGGTTTTCGGGTGGAGCTGGGAGATCTGTGCTCCAGGATGAGACCTCCTTTTCGGTTGAAGACGGGAGATCGCTGCTTCCATAAGTCAACATTTCATCAACCGGAGACACCACATCATCCTCCAGTTCAGCAAGAAGCCTGTTGCTTAAATGCACAGCGTCCCCTTCGTTTTTTGGGAGACCCTCTTGGGGAGACCTTAAATGGACTGCTACCATCCCAGCTTCATTTGTATTTTGGTTCTTGGTTGAAGAACCTTTTCGATTTTCCTCAGCCGGGTCCCTGTTGCCCAGGGACGTTTTGTTGAGTTGGAGACTGATTTCGTCTGGCTTGTGGGATACACATTCTTCTGCTGAACGGTTGGCACAGCCGGTTTTGTCCTCTGAAACTAGCAGGTGATCAGAAGAATTTGGAAACCTGTGGCATAACGAATGCTTTGGGCTGTGGATTGGCTGCTCAGAATCTTGAGGAGTGCCAGTGTTCAGAGGGACATCTGGTGCCAATGTCACGGTTGCATCCTTGTTACCACAGTGAGATGTGTTTTCATCCTCAACATCTTCTCCAATTACCTTAATCACATTAGGCAGAGGGTCCTTCTCTCCTTTACCCTCAGGACTGTGAAAAGGATCATTGGTGGAGGAGGAGACCATCCTCACCTCAGCTGGACTTCGAGAAGTCGTCTTGTTCCCACCATTTTCTGCACATTCTTCAGAAACATTCAAAGAAGTTGCCCTACTTCTCAAAGTTGGTGCATGAACGTGGTCCTTTTTTGTCACAGTACGGGTCCCCTGTAGCCTCCCACTGTTGGATAAGATAGCAGAACCAGATTCAGCCAACCTTTCCGTTCCAGCCATGTCTTCCCAGATCTTTTCCTGACTGTACACAGCACACAAGTCCTTTGACTCAAGGTCCCCACCAGAAATTTGGCCCTGAGGTTTCTTCTCAGAGGAGGATAATGTACTTTCTGTATTTATTACTATCCTTGGCACCACTGGAGCTTCATGATGCGTAGAGATACCCAGGTTATCAGGCAGAGGTTCCTGGAAGGCAAATTCTTCAGGGAGGCTGACATCTGTGTCTTGTTGGCCATCGTCTTCTAGATCTGAAGCAGAAAGAGAGCTTCCAGAGAGATGGACTAGAACTGCATAGCCCTTATGGAATTCAAAACCAGATGGTGACTTTTCTGGATACGGGCAGAAACCAGGAAGTATGGAAGAAGTTCCTGCAGAAGCAATACTTCCTGGGCCTTTGTCCAATGGAGATCCAGGATAGTCTTCTTGGGAATTCTTGGTCAAACTGTTATCAGGAGAACTGTTTTCTCCTCGTCTGGCCAAGTGATCTAGAAACAGCAGAAATGTGGAAATTGATTTAATTTTAAGTCTTAATGTCAGATTTCTTTCTATTTCTCTAGGAGGGTGGAAGAAATTTTAGCACCATTCCTTAAGAATGGGAAACCCCCCCTCCCCCCAGAATACTACTGAAATTTCTTGAAGAAGGATAAGCCACTACAGAGAGAAGGTGGCAGATTGGAAGACAAGGGATTCCCACAGGACCCTTAGCCATCTTGCCACCCAAAAGTCGAAGGACAGCAGCCCATAAAACTGACTTAACTGCCCTGCTTAGCAACAGAAATCCTGGCTCCAATTGTCATAAGTGGAGGATTACTTCTATTTTTGTATACTACCCATAACAATAACCTTTGTGTAGGTCTTCCCAGAGTCTCTGCAACCTATTATTATTTACTATTGTTTTATTAGCCAGTGCAACAATTGACAGAGACGTTTTCTAAGAGAGATTTTACGGCATAAACAACATTTCATCCTGCTGAAATGTTGTGAATAAGTACAGTTCTGAGGAACTGTAATTCCTGACTCGATATTTATAATTTCCTAGAGACAAGGCACCTACAAGGCTAATAAATTACAGAAATGTCTCCGATAGAAGATTTGGATTTACTTTCTAGAAGCTGAATGGCAAGGCGGAAGAAATATGAACTGCTGATAAAAGTAAGAAAGCAAAATCTCTCAGATGGATAGATTTTTTTTTTTAAATGTGGCCCCTTAAATTATGTTGGAAATATCTCGGAAGAAAGCACATTTCTAATAGCCCAAATGGAATAAGTGATGCCTTGTTTTCTGGAGAAGCCGCATAATCATATTCTCTAATAAACTCGGACAGATTTCGGCTCTCGCGTGATTTACGCCAATGAGATTTTGAGCAGGACCTTCTAGTCATCAAAGGGGAAACTGAGACTCTTTCTGTCTGCATTAAAGGGCGATTGAAGTGGCCAGAGCAAATTAGACGTCACAAGCCCCGAGTTTAATTTATTATTTCCTCGAGAAGCTTTTCAGGAAGACATAATTTACGGAGAGGTGATTAAGGAGGAAATGTCAGTCGGTAAAACGACTTAGAAAGGTTTTGCGGGTAGCCAGAAATGCTGGCTTGATTCCATCCAGAAAAGTCCAACCAACCAGCCACTGGCTATTCCTAGTCGAGCCTGGAAATAAAATTCTCTTATCCCATCACTTGTTTTTGAGTGCCCAAAGACGCAAGGAATTGGGCGGCTTTTCCTTAAAGTTTCTTAAATTTTTCTTTAAATTTTTGTGGGAGTTGCGACACTGAAAAAAATGATTTATGACCGTTTTTCACACTTGCAACCGGCAAAATGCCACAACTGGTCATAAAGTTGACTTGCCCAGCATGTGATCGAGAGCGCACAATCATTTACGACAGCTGGGGATACTTTATGAGACGTAAAGCACTTGTTCTGTGGCTGTCATAACTTCAAATGGTCCTAAAAACGACCGGTCATTAAACGAGGACTATCTGAAATGTGACTCTCTTCCTGCAACATCCACCATGGATATCCAGACCATCTTTGTATGGTTACCTGCTGTTCTTCCATAACCGAGGTCTGGATTCGGGGATCTTTGACCAGAAGGATCATATAGATCTTGGATGGTAGCTCCCAAGACCTTAGAAGATGGATCTCCTTTTCCTGGTTTCCTCTTTGCATGTCCGTCCACCTCCCGATTCCCTGGTAGCAAAATGCTCTTCGACTCAGCCAGCTGTCTGTAAGGAGATTGGCCTGAATTAGTAGGAGAGGGAGTGTGGAACACAGCGTTTCTCAACCGTGGCAGCTTTAAGATGGATGGACTAAAACTCCCAGGATTCTGGACCCCATTCTGGACAAAGGGCTGTCCAATCTCTTCTTAAAAGAGCTGTGGTGGTGCAGTATTGTAGGCTGACTGACCACTGCCAGCAGTTCGATCCTGATCAGCTCACGGTCGACACAGCCTTCCATCCTTCTGGGGTCAGTAAAATGAGGACCCAGATCATTTGGGGGCAAGAGGCTGGCTCTGTAAACCGCTTAGAGAGGGCTATAAAAGCCCCATGAAGTGGTATATAAGTCTGCTGTTGCTGTTGCTAAAAAGCTCCAGTGACAGAGCATCCACAAGTACTTGAGACAAGACTGATAGGAAGTTCCTCCTCGGTTCTAGTTTGGATCACTCTCGGATAAGTTTCCATCCGTTACTTCTTGTCCTGCCCTCAAGTGCTTCGGAAAATAAGTCAGTCCCCTCTTCTCTGTGACAGCCACTCCAGTACTGGACAACTTCGGTCGTGTCACCCCTGGTCCTCGTCATTAGACTAGACCTATCCAATTCCTGCAGCCGCTCTTATGCTTTAGCCCTCAGCCCCTTAATCATCTTTGTTGCTCTTGGAGGCAGAACAAGAAGCAACGGATAGAAGCTTGCCAAGGAGAGAACCAGCCTAGAACTAAGGAGAAATTTCCCAACAATGAAAACAATTAACCAGTGGGACAGCTTGCCTTCCGAAGTTGTGGATGCTCCATCCCTGGAGACTGGACAGCCATTTGTCTGAAATGGTGTGGGGTTCCCTGCTTAGGCAGGGGGGTGGATTAGAAGACCTCCAAGGTCCCTTCCGACTCTGTTATCTTGTTATTCATCCAGACAGAATTGCATGGAAGTGGAGTCACAGCAACTGGACTTATTTTCCTGTTGGCTTGAGACGTTTCCCCGTTACGGATCTCGACCAGGACTCCAGCTAAAAGACTTTGCCGCGTCCAAAACAACTAGATGGATGAGGTCTCTCTATCCACCATGCCAGCCAGCCCTTCCATCAGAGAGAGTGCAGCTGAAGCCAGCAATCCATTTTAAAGGTACCGGTGACCTATAATCAATAGCAACATGAATTATAGATCTGTTTCATGCAAAGATTTATTTACAAGGCTTTCCATTAACCAAACAGACCCCCTCCCACTTATCCACCACGCTTCTCAATGGGAAGTGACAAGGCCAGTAAGAAAATTTGTGAAAGAGAAAGGGTGGGTGTCACAAAACACCCCATTCATTCAAAGATCCGCAGGAAGGTGAGGTTTCAAAATCTGGACCCTTCAAGGGCAGAGGCCAAGGAGAAGACTAGCCATGGACAACCAGAAAAAAGCCTTTGAATAAATCAAAGTGAAAAGCAATGATTCACTTCTGGGCAATCTATCCCAATCGCCCTTTCGTAGATGAATTGCCTTATCGAGATAACACAATTAACACAAAAGCACAATTGTTATTTAGCAGCAAGGGAATGTTGAGTTCTCCTTCCTTGGTGGTCATCTGTCGGAAGTGTTGCAAAATCTTCTCTGCGCAAGAGGTTAGACTAGATGACCTCCAAGATCCCTGACAAATTTTATTCTTGATCAGATTCTGGATTCCATTCTGTACTCCATTTTGGATTGGATTCTTGATTCAATTCCACACACTACTCCAGATTGGATTCTGGACCCCGTTCTGCATACTGTTCTGGATTCTATGAGTGTCTGGATTGTTCTGAATTGAATTCTGGGACTGGACTCCATTCAGCATTAAAGTCTGGATTCAATTCTGGATTCATTTTTTCCCCATCCATTCTGGGCTACCTTGTACATTCAGGATTGGATCCTGGACTCTACTTAGGATTAAATTCTGGATCCTATTTCTGTGTTGGATTATGGATTCTATTCTGGGCTCTGTTCTGGATTGGATCCTGGATTCCATTCTGGATTCTGCTCCATTAGCCCACTAGTTACTGCTAGGTTTTATAGAGAATAATTATTGCTCTATTTCGGAGATGTCAATCTCCAGGCCCGCCGGATCCAGGCAGCCCAGCTAGGACCCCTCCCAGCCTCGCCTCAGCCCCGTCCAGCAGGAGCCCTGCTGCCTTCCCCCCCCCCCAAAGCCTGGGAAGCCTGGCCCTTTTCTGCACAACATTAAGGAAGGGTTTCTCACTGCTGTTCCGCTTCGTGGCTGCTTCTCCTTTCTGTTTCCCCTGGATAGGCTGCAATAAGAGGAGCAGGTCTGGAAGAGGTCTCAAACGTTTCTCTCTCCAGCATCCCAGCTCCTGGAGGGTTGAGAGTCTCAGAAATCTGGCGAAAGGGAGAGAAATTTGTGAGTTTCTCTAGGGTGATGTCAAGTTCATTTATCCTTCAGACTTGGAAGGGACCTTGGAGGTCTTCTAGTCCAACCCCTTGCTCAAGCAGGAGACCCTCTCCCATTCCAGACAAATGGCTGTCCGGTTCCCCTGAGCACCCAAATTTTAATTAAAAACTTTGACAAATAGAAAGGCTGGTCATTGCTTTCCAGAAGAGAAATATTGTATGACATACAGGAGCGATGTGCAATTTCTCACCTTGGGGCTATCAGCAAAAAGGCCCTGTTCCAAATCCTGCAGGTATGCCTGATCCTTTGCTGGAGAGAAGGGGCTTATCTCCAAGGAACAGAGGTCCCAGGCTATAAATTCCAGACCAAATTAAAGCTCTGGCATTAGTTTATGGACGAGTTATTATGTGTTGATATGGGAAGCCCAGAATCCAACTACTGTAAAAGCCATCAAATGGCTTGCACTACTTCTATCTGGAGGGATCTGGAGCTCCTATCTCAGGGGGCTTCTCATAATTTGGAAGCTAGAGAGAAGAGCAACAACAGGTCCTCTTGCGTGGACATCACAAACCTGGTGTGGCTGCTGCCCACCCAGCTGTAACCACAGCTGTGTGGTTGTCTTCTGCACTTCTAGGAGCTCCTTTTGCTGTTGGAGGAGAAGTTTACGCTCCTGATGGGCAGCTCGGCCGATGTTCTGCAGATGCCTGATTTCTGCCTGCAGAGAACGATGAGGAGAGAGACAGTGAGACGGCCTCTTCCTGACAGATCAGGTAATCGGATTGGATTCCTTGATCGATCGATCCAAAAGTCCAGATGTTCATTCTTGTCTCCTGCTCCTGCCCTGAAACTGGAGTTGTTTACTCATCCAGATCAAATGCAGCCTTCCTGAATGTCCTCTTTTGGAAGGGTTTGACTACAAATCCCACTATCCTCTGCCATTCCCAGTCATTTGACTAGGCCTGGTTGGGCTGCTGGCCTGGCCTACCTCGCTGGGCTTGCAAACTCCCCAGCCTCCCCTCCCTCCTCCCTTCCCCTCCCCGGATATTGTCACCTGCTCTTGCTTCAACCTGGTTAGGATGGAGAGCTGCTTCTCGGCTGTGGAGGATGGGTCTCCTGTTCCCTGCAAGCCCTGTGGGGAGCTGAAAGCAGGAAATAGGTTGAAATTAAGCAGTGGGAAGTGGGTTTCTATCCCTGGGGTCCAGTCAGCCAAGGCCCCCTCCCCCCAGCACAACGCAACATACAAACACGCTAAATGTTAAAGGGCAGACCTGCTGGCCAAAGTCCCAGGCGGTCGAGCAGCTTAAAAAATTAAATAAATATATTTTTTTAAAAAAGCTTCTTGATGCCCAAATGTCATTTTTTTTTTGCTTGTCTGTTAAATCAAGATCTTACTACAGTTCCTTTTCTTTCCTCTTACTTCCTGTCTTTCTCTATAATTATTTTTCCCCCCCTCCTCCTCCTCCTCCTCCCTTCTTCTTCCTCTAACCCTAGAAACAAAAACGCTTGGTGGGAGGAAGGCATGGTGACCCCATGACATCATTTTGTGGGTCGGCATCATGATGTCTCGTTGTGCAGTACCAGAGGTAGGGCAGTATTGGGGGGAGGTAAGCCTAAGAGGGGGGCTGGGTGGGGCAAAGGGGTCCTCACCACTGCCCGTGCTCCAGCCAAGCCAGCTCCGCCTGGGCTTTCTCCCGGAGGGCCTTCTCACGCAGCCGGAGAAGGGCGCTCTGGTGCCGGGCCCGCAGCTCCTCTTCCCTCAAAGATTGCTCCACCAGAGTCAGGCTGAGCCGGCCGAAGGAACTGGACCCTCCATAGAAGTGTCCAATCTCACTCCACTGAGGACAGAAACACAGCACTGGTAAAGGTGCCCCAAAGGATGCACCGTTGCCAAGGCAACCTCTCCTCCCCTGGACCACCCGGCACCCAGAACCTTGGGAATCCTCGCTCCAAAAGATGGTTTTCTCAAATAAGGCTGGAGTCAAGAGGAGAAAGGAGGAAGTGGCTCAGCCCCACTGGGGTACCTGGCTGTTTGAACCCGCAGGCTCAGACGGATCTTCCGCAGCACCGGCTTTTCCGGGGGCCAAATTAAATGGTGGGAAAGGAAGACCGGATGGCTGGTGCTGAGCTGTGGAGACAAGGCCACCTGCTCCTGGTTGGTTTTCTGGAGAAAAAGAAGTAGAACTTTCAGACCTCCATATTCAGCATCACTGGGTTTTTTAATGCAATGTGTCTTGCCCCTCGGTCCGCAGGTATTTGCAGAGCACCGTGGTAAAATGCAGCAGTAATCATAAATGATGCCCAAGTATGCTAAATCGTTAACATTGGCTTCTCCAACTCTTCCCCAAATAGACAGAAGAAATCACAAAGCTTGGGAATTTGCTGCCCATCTTGCTTTCTGCTGCTAGTCGCTCTTTGGATTTTTAGAACTTTTAGAATTTGGTTCATGCCATTACTTTATATTTCTGATGAATCTAACCCCCGCATGCAGCACCCCCAAAGAGAAACAGGTCTGCCTGTGCCATTTTTCTTTGCATCTTACCTGGAGGTTTCTTCTGCCAATTGCTTCCTTCTGGCCGGTTCTTCTCCAAAGAAGCCTTTGGCATTTCAACCAGCGTGTGGATCGACCCCCTAAAACGAAAGGCAAAGAGTTGTGAATTCAGATGCTGGATTTTCACATAGCCAAAACAGCCTGATCCACCCCTAAAGCTGCATCTTGGAAGCATCTCTCTCTCTCACACACACACAGTGGCCTCCGCCTAAACCCCTCCTATTCCAAAAACAGCCTCCTATAATCCTCGACTTACAACGTTTTGTTCAGAGACTGAAGTTACAACAGCAATGAAAAAAGGGACCTGGGGAATTCTGGGAGGTGACGCCCAGCCATCTTCAAGTTGCCACGGTTGAGAAAACTGGCTTAGGAGGTGGGCTAAGACCGCTTTTATTCTTGGGGATCAGGAGTGGGGAGCTTGGCTAAACCGATTAGGGACGGATGTGTGAAAAAGAAGACTTTTCTTGATCTGGGGGAAACCCAAAGCCAAGGAGATAAAGTCTTGGCAGATGCTTCCTAGGACAAGGAGTCGAAGGAGACAGACGGGGGGGGGGGGCTGAGTTTTTATTCCAATTCAGCAATCTGCTTAGCAAAAATCTCATTTCATTTTTCACGTTAATAAGCTTTTTTTCCCTTCCCTTCTGACCCAGAAACAGCAGAGCAGGGGGGCGAAAAGGAGGGGAGGGAGAAGGGCGACTTATCAGCCAGAGGGTGGGGATGATGGGTGAAAGAGTAGAATTTTGTTTTTCCTTCCTTCCTTCCTTTATCAAGGGGCAAATCTGGCCTAGAGCGATGTCCCAGGTGCTGGAGCATTTCAGGACCTGCTTTTAAAAAACCCGGCATTTCAAGCGTGCCAACGTGGGAGATTCTGCCTGTGCACCAAGCAATTTTGCAAGCACAAATTTCATGGTGACTTCAGGACCGAAGAAAGGATGAAGCCAATCTTCCTGCCTGCTGCCAGGGCCCAATAATTACCCGCCATCCGCCCCGCAATTCAGGCGTCCATATTTGGAACTTGAACTTCTGTCGCCAGGTGATGTGATCATTAACTGAGTGGTGCCCGGCTTTATGACCTTATATGGACGTTAAATGAATCTGACTTTGCTGGCCAGGAATTGACTGGGAAGGTCGCAAAATGGCGATTATATGATGCAAATGAGTAAATAAATTCCAGTTGCAATTCTCCGAAATCTGGTAATGTAGCTATGCCAAAACCGTGAAGTAGCAGCACTGCTCATGAAGTCCCATTTTCCAGGGCCATTGTAACTCCAAAAGGTCATTAAAAGAATGATTGTAAGTTGAGGACTACGTGTAAAAGTTCCAATATGGTGAAATTGGGTTAAGTTGGCCATCCAATCCAATATATCGTTCATTCCCTCTGTCCCAGTGCCGAAACATGGCTAGCGCGTATATAAAAGCGGGGGAAACCGACTGTAGTAAATAAATCTGCGGGATCCACTTGGTTAATCTCTTGTTCAGATTGAGCAGAAAAGGGATCAGCGGGGATTTAGAGGGGCGCTCGTAAAGATAATCAAGAGACTTCAGTTCCGCCCCCACCATATGCTGGAACAGATTCTCCCAGCCGAGGAATTACTGCCAAAGGGGCGTATAATTTAATATCTCCGTTTTACCTAAAAGAGGTTCTCCGGAGCAGGCCAGGTCATTCAAAAAGAATGATGGGAATTGTAGTCATGAGAAAGTTTCATGCAACAAAAGAAAAGTAAAAAGTGTGGCTTGGCTCAGATAATCTAGCTTTTGGGCAGCCTGTTGTATAAACCTAGCCAATGATGGCTTATTAAGTCAACCAAGGTTGAACAAGCTTGGTGTAGAAGCAGTGGAGGGGGACTGGGAGAACAGTTAACTGAAGCAAAAAAAAGTGTTTTTTTTTCATTCTCTTATCCTCAGGAGTTGCAGATTTTTAAGGCTTCTCAGTATATCAACAGCCCGAGAGACCAAGCAGTGCCCATTATGTGGCCAACAGCGCCATCTGATGGGCACCTTGTGAAACTGCACAGAGCTGAGTTTTGAGACTCGACCTTATTTTTGGAAGGGCGAGAGCTAGCTGATGCTGCTAACCGACGCAACATTTAAGTCTTAATCAATATTTTAAATTATGGGGCCTCGATTTACGGGATACCTCATAAAATAAGTGGGATTTTATTACACCCCAAACTTTACTCAGCAATGTCTTATGATGGTCTTCCAAGCATCACCTTCGGTCTCTTTTCTTTTTCGCTTTTCCCAGGGCTCCCAATTTCTTTCTTTATCCCTCTTCCTAAGCAATCCCAGAGTAGCTGAAAATGCCGGCTTGGTAGAAATGTGGTTTTAAAATAGCCAAACTTAATACAATCCTAGCCCAGTCCATCATGGTCCAATCACAGCTCTGCTACATATGGACAGATCTTGCATGGGATGTCAGGGCCTGTTTAGACCCCCCCCCCCTTGAGGACAGCCCCCCCAGTCCCCCATGGGCAGGATGCTGGGAGGCTCTGTGGAGGGTGAAGAAGTCCAAGGGCAGGTTCTGACCTTTCAGTGAAGAGGCCAGCTCGGGGCCTAGCAGGGTCTTTTCCCCCAGATCCCATCTCTGAAGCAAGACCTTGGGAAGAACAACAGACGTTCTTAACTGATTTGGGTAAACATAATTAAGAGAGGAGGGGAAGGGGGCAGAGAGGAGAGAGGAGAGGAGCAGAAGAGAGAGAAGAGAGGAAAAAAGAAAAAGAGAAGGAAGGAAGGAAGGAAGGAAGGAAAGAAAGAAAGAGAAAGAAGGAAAGAAAGAGAAAGAAAGAAAGAAAGAAAGAAAGAAAGAAAGAAAGAAAGAAAGAAAGAAAGAAAGAAAGAAAGAAAGAAAGAAAGAAATTTTGAAATCCACAATGCAGGAAATTTCGTTCTGCATTCAGCCCCATAGAGGTTTCATATTTCACAGGGCAATGAAAGAAGCTTCTCTACCAACCTTCCTTCAGGTCTTTTGCTTCAGTCCTGCTTTGCCTTCTCTCAACCGAGTCCATCACCTCAAGGCCAGCCCCATCCCTTGGAAGAAGATGTCGGACGAGCCGTTCCTTGTCCATTGGGATGCCCAACCCCCTCCTGAGACAAGCCCTTTCTTGAGGACACATTGATGGATTCAGTGAAGGTCTTGAAGCCCAGGTAGACTCTGCATTTTCTGGAGCATCCACGTTCTCGAGAGGAGCCGCAGGGGGAGTAGTCATCTGAGACCTCTTAGACGGAGTTCCAGGTGGACATCCTTGGTCCCTCGAGGCCTTGGTGGCTTGTAACCTTTCCATTTCTCTCCCCAACCGCTCACTGAGATCTTTAGCTAAGTTGTGGATGGCCCTCACTCTGTCTTGCTTGCTTCTGTGAGAAGGGGAGGTGGAGGTGTCCAAGGAGAACGGCGTCTCCATGCCAATAATGTTCTCTCTCCAGAGGTGAAAAGGACTCGGTGAGTGATGGCTTGCCCGAGGGGAGCAGATGTCCACCTGCTTGAGGTTCAGAGGGGTCCTCAGCTGATCTTCAGGCTCTATGGAGGTACATAATCCCAGGGTCAGAGTCCCCTGTCCTGTTTTGTCCATCCTCGGCTCTAACTCACTAAGGGAACAACAGTGGAATGCCAAAGGAAAGAGCACAGAGTCACTTGGTTGAGCGGGGAGCTGTAGAAATTAAATAAATAGAAACCTCTGCCCCATCTCCACATGCTTATGCAACTGGAAATGACTGTCACGTACCTGCTGAATTTTGACTCCTTCCTTAGCAGAGTCCATGATGCTCGAGAAACACCTTTCATGCCATCTCTTGCTGGAGATTGCCCACCTGGGTATTTCTAAAATTTAAAAACAAGAAGAATCATTTTATATTGACTATCCCCCATCTGTGAGAGAGGTGTGGCTCTCGCCCACCAGCAGGACCCATCAGCCACAACCGCTGCTGAGAATTCTGGGGGCTGAAGTCCAACTATCTGGAGGGTCATTGGACGCTGGGCAGCAGAGCTTCTCAACCTGGGCAGCTTTAAGATGTATGGACTCCAGATCCCAGAATTCCCCAGCCTAAATCACGGTTTGAAGTTGGGTGGGAGCTCAGCAATTATGCCTTACTCAGCAAACCAGCTGCGGTTTCTGAGATAACCTTAAACCACAATGGCTGATGGGACTCAATCTTAGCAGGGGACTTTCTAACCCAGCTCTCCTTCATTTATGACTTCTTTCTGACCACAATGTCCTTACCAAACCAAGATCCCTCTTGGAGCGTGTGACGGAAGTCAGGCCTTCTCTCGGTTGTTCTGCACGATGGCTTCTTCTGCTGGCTGCTTCTCTCTGCTTCCGGTAGACCTCTTGAAGTTTCCTGTTCCTCTCTTCCTGGGCCTGCTTTGAGGTCCTCCTCTCTTCCTGGATCCTCCTCTTTCTCTCAGTGGCCTTCTGGTCCATAAATTCACGGACCTGTTCAGGACTGTAGGGCGTCTTCCTGGCCTCCACCCCCGGGGTGGTGGGTTGGCGTTCCTTCCTCGGAGTTGGGCTTCTCAGAGAAGACCCATTCGGTCTTCCCTGGCCAGATCTGGAGGTCTCTCCCATGCTCATCCTTTTAGCCAATGCACTTTGAACCTTGGGAGAATGTGCGGTCTTCACCCCATCAGAGGAACCCCTTGTAGATCCTGCTGTTCTCGCTCTTCCTGCAGCTCTCGGATGATTTTCGCTCTTCTTCTCTGTCTCTGGAGCTTTCTGGCACCTTCTGGTCCATTTCTGTGCCCAGCCGGGGTTTTCCCAGTCCTGCCACTTACGGTTTAGTTCGGCAGTGTGTCTCTCTTGTCTTATCTTCTTCCTCTCTGGCTGAACAGCCTGTGCATTTTCTCCGAAGGTTTGCTCTGTCTGGGATCCTGTTAAGGGATCCCCTTGAAATCCTGGAGGAGAGGAGACACACCCAGTTCAGCCGTGTTGTCAGCCGCCCATCAGAAAAGAAAGACTCTTGGAAGCATTGCTAACGAAAGTACCACGCATGAACGCCTGGCTGCTCCCAGGGGAGAAAAACCTCCAGTATTCTCCTCTCCTTTGCCAGAAATTTAGGAACTACATGATCAAAAGAGTGAGGGGAAAAAAAAACAACCCTTACATGCTGAACTTCTCTGAACCTTGTGTTTCTTCTGAATGTCTCCTTTTTACAAATGTAATCTGTGTACTTGGTGGGAGGAAGGAGAGGAGAAGGAAGGACAATTGGTAGGTAGGAAAAAATAGAAGAAGGAGAAAGGGGATGAAAAGAAAGGAAGGAATGCAGTCCTAGAGAAAGGACAAGGACTAGCCGCTTTGGATTCAGCTCTTAACAGAGGACAAAGTTGTTCTCGGAAAAATCAAGACAAGAGCCAAGTGATCATAAAAAAACTTTGTTTGCTCCCTGGTGACCGCCGTCTCGACTTTTTGGACCACCCTCTGGAGGCCAGTTTGGGCACAAATGCTGCTAGGAGAAGGTTCCTAAACCAGGAACTGACCTACGACTCTGAAACAAATGACAGTTTGATGAGAATTCCCTTCAGCAAGTCCTGAACCAGAATAAATGAGATATACAAACTTTTATATGTATCTAAAAGTACCTCGGAAAGGCCCCTTTCCTTTGCTTTTCAGTTCAGTTTTCAGATTTGGATATTTCAGTGGTGGGCCGAGAATGTTTCTAGCCAGCTTCTGGCCTTCCCTCCAAGCAGACACCCCGAATAAAGTAACAGCTGGAGTTTAAACACAAAGAGAAAGCTTTCAGAAACAGGCAGAGACAACGAGGAAGGAAGGAAGGAAGGAAGGAAGGAAGGAAGGAAGGAAGGAAAAGAGAGGGAAGATAAGAGGATAAGAAATAAAGAAATCAGCTAAAAAGAGAAAAAAAATAAGCAATTTCCAAAGTTTTCACCAGTTATAAAACCAACCCATTATCCCTCTTCCCTTCTATTTCTGCAAAACTCTCTTTGACCCCTTTTTCAGTCGTCCAAACCATACAATCACTTCACTTTTTTTCCTTTTTCAGCAAAAAGTCCACCCAGGTCTCCTGTCTACTTATACCGCACAACCTTCTGTTATCCCGATCCTTCCAGGAGCTTCCCAGAGGTCCTCTGAGCTCCCGGAAAAGCCAGGCGCTAAAGCAAGAGTGGGCATTACGGCCCCCTTACAACCTGTGGATTTCAACTCCCTGAATATTCTTGGGCTTAAAAGCCACAGGCTGTAAAGTCGTCATAGTTGGCCACCCCTGATCTAAAGGATGCTAAAGGATCCAATCTAAAGGAAACACACACACACACACCCCAAAATGCACGACTCCTTCAGGGATAATTGTTCATAAAAAACACCCCTCTATTATGTTGGGCCGCTCTGCAAAAAGAAATTAGTTTTGAACACTTGGGAGACCCAAGATGAGAAATAACCAAACTAGGATTGAGGCTCAGTGTCAAGGCTGGCAGAGCAAGAAGGCTTCTGGCGCCCCCTGCTGGAGCTTCAGGGAAGGCAAGAGCCCTTGGCCAGGAGCATCGGAGGGCTAAACGCCCCCCCCCCCCGGATTGTGCCCAGCGATGCTGCCTCCTGCTTCCATGAATATTTTATCCCCGGCCTGACTTAATTTTTTGTTAACTGCTGCAAATCTCCAATTCATCAAACCTCCCAGGGCTTTTCCTCCGACCTGCGACCTCTCCTTCATCTCCCCTATGTCCTCACTGACAGCGCTTAATGGCCGGAGAACCTTCCAGCCACCGTGATGGATGCCTCGCCTGGCCCGGGACATGGATGACCTGCCCTCTTAGGAGGGAGGGAGGCCCGGCCATTTTTCAAGCGTTCCATTAAAGCCAAGTGGGAGGGGGCGAGGTTGGCAAGGTGGGGAGGGGAGACAGATGGGGAAAATTATTTTTATCTTCCTTCCCTTCCCTCCTTCCTTCCTTCCATCAAGCAGCTACTTGACTGGGAAGGTCTGCAGATTCCTGCCTTGAGCAGAGGGCTGGACTAGCGGATCTCCAAGGCCCCTTCCTTCCCATGATTCTGTATCTGCCTGCCACAGTTCACAGCACCCAAGTCTTTCCAAAGGTCTCTTCCTCTGCATTTCAGTCCTGCCATTTTCCGCCCCTCTTTGTATAAAAGTTGGAGCCCTTTGCTGGGGCTGCGCCTTCCCCGCCGCGACCTCACCTCTGCCTTTCTCTGCCTTCCGGGAAGAGGGTGCCGAGTCCTGGCCGGCTCTGAGCTTCTTTCCCGTTCTTTCGCTGCGACCTTCACCAAAGAGAAAACATTACACATGGCGTGGGTGGCCAAGAAGGGACACGGTGAGGAAAGGTTATGTACAGGTAGTCCTCTACTTACAACAGTTTGTTTAGTGACCGCTTGACATTACAACGACATTACAAAGAAATGACTTATAACCCTTTTTCACACCTACAGCCACTTAGCATCCCCCCAATCACCCGATCAAAATTTAGACGCTTGGGAACTGACTCACACTTATGACAGTATTGTATAATTTTCATCTAAGGCACTGGGGGCAACCAAATTTGCCTTGTTAACGCGCATAATGGCCTGTTGGTGACGCAGCGGTTAGAAGGTTGACTCGGCCTTCCATCCATCCGAGGTCGATAAAATGAGGGTCCAGATCCTTGGGGGAGCAATATGCTGACTTTGTGAACCACTTAGAGAGGGCTGTAAAGCGCTATGAAGCGGTATGTAAGTCTATTGCTATTAAAAACGAATGCATGCTGCTCTAAGGACACAACGGGCCTCCCACCCACATCCCAAGCTCAGGCTTAGGGGGTGAGAAAGGAAGGTGGCCTTTGTGGAAATACGCAGGAGCTGCTACTTAACCCAAAGAGGCTGAACTATTTTTGCAAGTCTAGAGCAACGCAATGACATCCAGAAGCAGCTCGGCCAGAGGCCTCCCTGATTTCACTGGAGGGCAAGAAGGGTCCAGCATCCTCAGACTTGCAAGATTCTGACCTAGCCAACCTCAGTCCAATGAGTTGGCGTCTTGTGATCACAACACGGACGGGGCTGGCATTTCCAAAGCCACAAAAGAACAAGGCATCCTGGACTAACCAGGGCAGGCTGGGGCTGAGAAGGCTGCAGCTTTGCAGACCTTCCTCTTCAGAGGTTTCGTGCTCCGAGTTTCCCCTTCAAGCGGGAGGCTCTTTTCTGGACCGTGGGGGACGCATCTGCGTCGCTGGGCGAGGATCGTTTTTTTCAACGCCTGCAGCTTCTTATCGCAGGGACGGTTCTCCTTCAGGCCCCTGATCCTGCAAGCCAGGGGTCGAGACGGGGCGGGAGGCAAGCCTGGCCGGAGAAGAAGGGCACCCTTCCAAGGGATGCCCTCCGCAGCCAGAGAGGTGACCCTCCTTTTCTGGGGGGTGGAGCAGGGTCTGTCGCCTCTGTGGCGCTCCCACGCATGGACGTGGCTCCAGAATTCAGGACCCCACATGGCTTCTGCGGAGAGTAAGGAAGGTGGCCCTGTCAGAGATACGCCAGATCTGTTACCAAAGCAAAAAACAGAACATGGCTTAAGTGCATACTAAGCAGAGAGACACCTCCCTAAATTCCTCGTGTTGCCCCCCCCCCCCAGGGAGAACAAATGGTGCATTTCAGAGCCTCTTTTAGAGGCTGGCAGTTAAATAGCTTGTGATGAATGTTTTCACTCCTAGCAGCTGTGTGTACAAAACACATGCTCCGGCTTGCCAGAAACGTATTTTTGACAGTTGGCAGAGAGGAGGAGGAGGAGGAGGAGGAGCTTGGCAGGAGCAGACAAAATGCCAGGGCAGTTCTCTCCGCAGCCTCTGCCGTGGACTTGGAGACGGGGAAACTCACCCAGCCCAGCCCTCGGCGGCCGACAGACCCTTGGCTGAGGGGCCACAGGCCTCTCCTCTTCCGCTCTGGCCGTCGGGGATTTATCAGTTAAGAAGCAGCCCTGGCTTCTGCTTACACCTGTCTGAGTCACCTAGTTGGAAAGGGAGAACAAACTTACTCGGGAGTTATTGGGAATGTTGCTGAATTGATGCACAACCCCCAGGGGCATCAGCCAGGGCGTACGGGTGCTGAGTCACGCTGAGGAGCCCTGACAGCTGCCTTACCTGCTTTCCAGCCAGGTAAATCCTCCAGCGAATCTTCCTGTCTCACCTCCTTCTCCACCCAGGTGAGCAGCGACTCTGAAGGCCGCTGAGAGGCAGGCAGAGGCCCTGAATGGCGGCAGGAGAGGCGGGAAGGGACACGCCTTTGTTTGGGGGCAGGTACCCAGGGCAGCTGCTAAAGAACCGACTGGCACAAACACACCCTCACCGTCCTGCCAGGCTTCTCTGCCAGTCCCTTGGCCAGCAAGGTCTCTGGATGGGAAGGAGGAAGAGAGAAGGGAAAACATAACTTGCAAGGGTCCAGCGCCCCGGAGGGCGTCTTGCTCAGGTTTTCCTGAACCCCAATATGTTTCCTGTTTCAGTCTGCAGGCTAGTGACAAAGTTTTCGTTGCAATTAAATGCCTTTCTCTGAGGCAGTCAATAAGAGTGGACGAGAAACACTTATCCAAGGGACCGTCTCTCGCCGGTCACATCCACCCCACCCTCTAGCGTGGGGGGGGGGCAAGGAATGTTGTATAATTTCCACATGGATTCAAGATCTGACAGCAGGAAAACTGCCCAAATCAGGAAAATACACACGTGGGAAATCTGCCCAGGAAGGATTGGCTGGAAGTGCCTCCCCCCCCCCATGATGTGCATTGATGAACGGAGTGACTAAGCCCCTCTGAGCCACTGAGGGGCAGTCGAGCACCGTCCCTGAAGGCAGCCTGTGGGTTTGGGGTGGAGGGGCACCCCAGAAGCACTGCTGGAGAGAACTGGAAGTGCCTCTTCCTCTGCAGAGTTCCCGGAGACTTTTGCAAAACTCCTGCGGTGGAGAAATCAGATTTATTCCAGCAGATGCTGCTGCTGCTGCTGCAGAGGTGGGCAGCCCTTAACAGGCCACAGATAAGAAGTGAAAAGCCCAGGCTGGACAGGAAGTCTGGGGAGAGGAAACCCAATCAGCCAGGAAAAGAATCAAATTCATCCTAGTCTCCGATATACCAGTCCCACAGGTACCCCCGTCCCCCCCATCCGCTGCCCCTCCCCACCCAAGAGAGATTCATTTCAGAGGCATAAATGCTTCCAGGTTGCAAGGGGGATGCCACAGGTCAAAGGGGCAGGCGGGGGGGCTGCCCACACCCCTCCCGTCCTGCACTAGGGGATGGTCCCCTCGACTAAAGGCTGGAGGACCACGTAGGGCCTCAGGGCTGGGTTTGGCAGATCCTGCTTAAGGATGGCTTGCTGGATAAACCACAGTTAGTCCAGACACCATGAAGTTGGGCACAAGCTATAGACTGACCATCAGCCAGCTCAGAGGTCACTTGTGCCCCCCCATGGGCTGGAAGAGCCCCGCACGCAGCTGCGGTCAAGGCCAGAGCATGGCTGGACCCCCACTGACTCAGCTCCCCTCTGCCCATGCCAGATTCTGGCTTAAATATTGTCTGATGCCGCTGTGCAACGGAGCCGGTCTCCCTGATCCAGATTCATCTCTAACTGGAACAACGCAGTTGCTGGGTGTTCCCTGGGCCCCCACTCATCAACTTTCTGGAAGTCGGGGGAGGGGGATAAAGCAGGTTAACTGAGCAGCTGAAAGGCAGCAATTTAGCGTATGGGATCATTTACCTGATTAGAGAGTTTATTTTATAGAAATTGCTTCAGAATGGGGCTGTGTCCGGGGAGGGGGCTGGTGAAGGAACCAGACCCTCCATGGGGGGGGGGAGAGAGCCCCAGCCGCAAAGGTAGGCATCCATGCCCATTGTTTAAGTGGCACAAGAAATTATGCCCCTTAATTCTAAGCGGATTAGGAAGCACGCCAAGGGAAGCCGTGAAAAGGGATTTGCAAGGGTTTCCCTGCTGCTCCCCCAAGGAAAAGCGGGTGTGATGCCCTCAGGTGAACCTTCAGCTGCTTGCAGGTAAAGGCTCCCTCCTGGAGGGGCTGCCAGGCCTCCGTACCTGAGCATTTTGCCACCAGGGCTCCTTCCTGGTGTCACGGCCGAGCCTCCCCACTGGCAGGGTTGGTGAAGAAAGAAAGAATGGGAAAGCAGAACTGGCAGCTTCAAAGGGGCAAGATTTAATTCCCCCCCCTTGAAAGGCGGGCACTCTAGCCATTGGAGGCCCCTTCCTCTTGACTGGCGGGTTTGACTTGGGTAGGAATGAAAGAGGGAACTGAAGAGAGAGAGTTGGGCTTGGCGTGTGCCAACCTTTGCTAAGTTTCCGTTTAGCCCCAAAGGTGGTTTTGAGCAAGCCCTGCCTGGCTTTTGTAGCACTGAAGCGGTTGTTCTCTGACTCAAAGCTGCCACGGCCCCTCTGATGCCCGCTGGTTTTGTACCCCGATTTATACGTCCATCATATCCAGTCTGCACTGGAAGAAAGAAGGAAGGAAGGAAGGAATAGAAGACAATGAAAAGGTTAGGACTCTAATTCTGTCTGTACTGGTCCTTAATTAACTTCCTGGGTAGGCCCCGCCCACCTTTTGTCTGTCCGTCTATCTACATCCATCCATCCATGCATGTCATCTATATCTATCTATCTATCTATCTATCTATCTATCTATCTATCCATCCATTCATCTTAACATCTATCCATCTATTATCCATCCATCCATCCGTCATCTATAGCTATCCATCCATATCATCCATCCATTCATCGCTATCTATCTATCTCTCTATCTCTCTATCTATCTATCCACTCACCCACCTATACCTATCATTTATCCATTCACACACACACACACACACACACACATAGACACACACACTTACGGACACACACAAATAACCGAGGGAGATGTTAATGTGGGAAGTTCTCCCTCATTTGCATGTGTTTTGCGCCTGGCACCAGCACGGGTGCCGGGGTCAATTGAAACTCGAGAAAAAGAGGAGAAATTTTATGCAAAACTGTTGATTGCATTTGTATGTAATGAAATCATCCAATATTCATCCGCCTCTGGGCGCTAATCGGGAAGGAGAACCGGAGGACGGGAGAGTTGCCGGGAAGCTGTAATGAGCTTCTGTAGTGATTAAAAAAAAGCACTCCTGCCCGCCGACAATCCAGCCCGAAAGCGCCTCTAATCAACACTGGATTTCGGAGGCAAAGCGATTATGCCGCCACCGCCGCAAGTCTTTCCCCCTGCTCGGCACCCTGTCAAAGAGGGCCGCGCCTGGGAAGCCCGGCATGCCAAGCCCGCACGGCTCTCCTTGGAGAGAAGGCAGTGGGGCGGCACAATCAGAGCGCCAGGCGCCCTCCGCACAAAAGCAATCGAGGGGCTCCGTTCCCCCTTGCCTGCCCCCCAAAAAACGAGGCTCAAAGGGGAGCAATCACCTCTCTTTTGAACTTCCACCTTGGCCTGCCGCCTTTCCCTCCGGCCCCGGTTTTTGGGCTACGATTGCTCGGTTATTGTTCAGCCTGGGCTGATGGCTGTATTTGCATGCCTGGCACCCCTGTCCAGGTCCATCTTGCCAGTGAGTAAAGCGGTTAAATTTGGTTTCCTGCCCACAATTTTTCTTTCCTGCACAAGGTGGGTTTAGAAAAGGTTTGGCTGGAGCAAAGAAACCAGCACAGAAGGGAGTAGAATTCCACACTGAGGCAGTCACGTGTCCTAGAAATGGTACATTTATTTGTCCAGCCACCTAAGATAAATGAACACTAGGGCCACAGTCACCTGATCACCCTTATGTTTAACCTACCATGCTGCGCAAACCAGCCTACCTGGATAGATGGTGGTTTAGGATGTCTTAAGGCCGGATTGATCAAACCCTGGGCGAGTTATCGCCAGGCAGTGCCCAGCACACTCGTGGCTCAGCATGATTTGGGCACACAAGCAAGAAGTTTAAGGCAAGCTAGCGTTTATGCACCAAGCCCAAACGTTAACTTCTTGCTTGTTTGGCGAGTGCAGAGGCTCAAAGTAAATTCTAGGTAAGACTTAGGTGTGAACCAAGCCAGGTGTTGGTCAGCATCACCCCTTCTGAAAGTCCAGGATTTGGTCAAAGAGGCCTGAAGCTAGGAAGGACATCCTTAAGACTGGAGAGGAAGGTCACTCTTCTGTCTGGAGAGCAAAACTGAATTGTGCCTTGGGCAGAAGGGAGCTCCCGGTCCCAGCACATCCCACCGGCTCTCTAGGTTAAGGTGATGAGGATAACAAGAGTTGGAAGGGACTTTGGAGGTCTTCTAGTCCAACCTCGGTCCTTTACAACAGGGTGGCTGTTTTTAACGCCCAGAGTGAGGTGGGGATCCAGAAGCCTCCCCAGGATGTGCCCATTTCCAGGCACTCTGAAATTAGGGGTTCAACAAGATCATTCAGACTTGCTTTATTTGATATACGAGATTCCTGGCAGATTTATGAGGGCCTTAGCACCCTCTGCTCCCCCAAAGCCAGGCAGCAAAGGCACAGCAGACCATTTAATCGATAATGGTTTGTGATCCTTCTTTTTCCAAAATGGCTTCTGGTCCACGCTGTGCTTTCGGCAACGGAACTGAGATACCAGTTGCCGGGGAACCAAATTCTCTTTTCCCAGCCCACCCCAAGGCTAAGCCTCCTTCCTCAATTCTGGTTCCGGCAGGTGACAAACCACTGCGGTGGAGCCACTGGTGGGGCTCCCTGGCTGTTTAGCCAGAAGAAAGGAGCTCGTGGTGACCTCTGAGAGACTCTAGGCAAGCAGCTCCTTCGTCTTGGCTGCCAATAGCTTCTCCATTTCGGCTGTGGCATCTTCTGTCATTTGCTGAATCTGTGGCAAATTGAGAAGAACACTGTGTGAATTCTTTTTTTTCTTTTTTTAAAGAAAAACGCCGACAGGTAGCAAATAACAACAATCGCACTAGAATTTTCATCAGAAGAGGAAGGATGTAGGGACGTCGATCTGGATTAAAAATAAGGGCCGGCCACCGAATGAGGACACGGCTGTCCAGAGGTGGAGAAACCTCTGATGCGAAATGTGACATTTCCGTGTCCCTGTCAGGTCAGGACAGCCCAGCCTGATGGTCAGTACTAGCCTGCGGCAGGTCCTCCCAATCCCTCAGTACCTGCATTTATTCATTTATTTTTCTCATATTTCTGTCGTGTGTATCAGAGGTGGTGACCCTCTGAAAGCTGTATGCCACGGAATTTCATTTTAATGTGTGCCGAATAATGTACCTTCAAAATGACAATAAAATTACTGTTCTGTTATTCTCTTCTACCTGCTTCTCTATCAGTCGGATGATGTCTTCCGACGTGGTGCTTTTGGCTTTCTTCGTCTGGTTGACGGCCCCAGTGCGCACTTTGCGCAGAGACTCCTTGGCCTTGTGGGTGAGCTGCTTGGCGACCGTGACCAAGTTCTCCCTGTGTTCGCGGGTGATTCTGGTGGGGGAAAAGTGAAGGAGAAAAAGAGCCTCTTGGGACGGATCCAAACTTTTCACGGCACGACTGAACTTCGCAGAAGAGGCAGTTGTGGCTCAGCTGGATGAGGGCAGGGCAGCGACTGGGCGTGTGATGTTTTGGAATAATATCTGGTAAGAGTTTGCATTTCTGGCTTTTTTAATGACTGCAGCTTCTGGAGCATGGAGATTACGCCAGTGGCCTAGCAGACACAATTTGGATGGCTCCCTCCCTCAGGAGGCAGTCAAACATGTGGCTCTTGTCCCTCAAAAGAGGGACGGTGGCTGGTTAAACGAAGGAAAGACGGAGAAGGATGTTCAGCTCTTCTTCTCTGACTTGCCTGTTTTTGGGTTTCTCTTCCTCTCCAGGAATTCAGATGGGAAGAGAAGACCTGGGAGCATGTTAACAATCAGGCTGCTGCATGGCAATTAGGAGGATAATAGCAGCCTCCTTCAGAATTGGAGGGGGGGGAGGGACGCTGAGAGGGGCAGGAGACCAGGAACTGGATTGGCAGGAGAGGGGAGGGGGGCAAAGGGATCCCATTCCATCTCCTTCTGTCCCAAACACACAATTAGCTTTTCTTAGTCGGATTTAATAACGGCACCCTTTATTGGCTGGTGCTAAGTGGCTTCCCACAGGTTTCAACGTGGCCCTGACTCAGATGTAAGCGTTCAAACAAACACCCGATTGGCTATCTTTGTTTAAGCTAATTTAAAAGACCAAAGCATGTTGCAAAACTTTCAGCAAACCAGGAGGCATTAAAGGGATATTTGAAATGGCCTGGGAGAGCAAGCAGGTCTTCAGCAGGCCTAGCGAGGAGGGCTAGGGGGGGGGCTGGCTTGGAATGGGAAAATTCTGGGGTGTCACACTAGGCAGCCCCCATCAAGAGCAATTTCACCCCCTCTTCCAACGCGCAGGTGGAGGCAAGAAGCCATTTCAGAGAGGATCGGACTGTTCTAAGCGGACATTCATTTAGCCAAGCAGGCAAAATCGCCCCAGGTGTTTTGCCACCGAGGGGCTGAGAGAAGGCGGTGGGGAGGCTTACTTTGGGACTGGCACGCGAATCAACAGCCCATCCGCTTCCGGGTTGAGATTCATCCCGCTCTGTTGGATTGCCTTGACGGCTGCAGCTGTGCTCTGCAACAACGCCAAGATCAAAAAAAAAAAAAAAGGCAGGGGGAATTAGCAAATAATTATTACCAGATGCCAGGACTCCCCATCAGTGGAGAGCAATCCATCTTGACAGAACATGGAAACATTTAGTTTGGTTACCGGCAGGACCAGGAAGTTACATCGGCCAGGGCCCCTTTGATCAAACTGAATTGCAAGCTGCAGGACGCCCCCCCCTTCCTCCTGCTCCCCCCCAGGATCGAAGATATTGGTGAAGAGGGTTCGGGGGGAAGTGGGTGGGGGGAAAGAATGAGACTGACTAGGCAAGGAAGGAAGGAAGCAGAAAGGAAGATGGAAACCATCTTGATGGTTTGAGGCAATGCAGATAGCAAAGGAGCAGCAAATCCTCCCGGGGGCTCCGGACTTCTGCAAGATGTAGGAGAAAAGCAGATGAAGGATTCCAGGATGGGCCTTTGGCTGCCAAAGCCCCCACGTGGTCCTGTTTGGGGCTTAGGGGGAAGGCCTCAATCACGTTAACTTGTTCCACATTGCACCAGGCAAGTGTGAAAATAAAGGGGATTAGCACCAGGCCTGTTCTTTGCATCTTTGGATTTTCTGGCAGGCAATTGCTGGAAACCTCTGCCTGCCCCCCCCTCCCCCAGGCTCAGCCTTTGTGCCACACACAGCCCTTCGGCAGCCAGCCGAGCGAGGACCGTGTGCTCTCCACGGCATCAGAGGCGCCTAAGCTGGCCATGGGCCTCCTTTCACAATTGTTCGCTCATTTCTCTTAACCAAAAACACCCCGTTTTGTTCTCTTAGGACTGGAGAGAGACGTATGGAGGAAACACAACTCAAACTCCCAGTCATTGGAAAGCTTCCCTGCTCCTTTCTGGTCTGTTAATCCTCTTCTTCCAAAGCAAACGTGGTTGCAGGGTTGGGTTCTGCACAAGCTCTGATGTCATTCATAGCTTATGCAGTAATATCCAAGTGTGAAAGCCGAGAGGAGCTTGCAGTCTGAGCCACTGCAGATGCCAGGGCAAGGACACGAGTCTTGCTGGCAGCAAAAACCAGGCATGAAGCCAAAAGGGGGGGGGGAGCAGCCTTTGCCACAGCCAGGCTGCTCCTGGGAATCAGGAGATTTGGGTCTGCCAGGGGGACGGAACAAGAAATCTACTCACTTCTGGGAAGCTGCTCATGTTGACCACAAGGAGCTGCGCAGAGTGTTGGGAGATTTGCGCAAGCTGGTTTAATGGAAATTTCCCATCTTTGGTAGTAACTGTGATAGAATCGAGAGCCCCTGAAATGAGAAACACGATGGTAGCGAAACCCTTTCGGAGTCTGGCTCAGGTGTTATCGTTCCTCCTCTTTTTATAATTATGGTCTGCTGCTTTTATTACATTTTATTACATTTATCCATATAGTTTTGGGATCAACCTGGAAAGCTCTTATCTTTGGGCGCTTCTAAAAAAAATATACTGAAGTAAAAACATCCGAGTGTATTGCAAGTGGCTGCCTCCAGAATTATCCGATGTCTGTTAAAAATCCACCAGTCCGTTCCCATTCCCTGGTTCTTTCAGGCAGAAGAGAATGTTCTCTTTCATTACCTCCTAAACCGTAAAGTGGTCTAGTGAGTTTTAAGCAGCATATTTTTAAATTTGATATGGCAAGAAAACAGCAAATGAGTTGGAGCAGCGCCCCAAAAGCTGCAGAACATCACTCACCTGGATTGGTTCTGATGCTCAAGGTTTTGTTGAAATTTTCCTGCAGAGTTTTGACCACTGAGTTCATCTCTTCGTTTACTTCTTCTAGGTTGATGATATCTTCCACCAAGGAGGTGTTGATGTTCACACGGACCTGACCTTTCCCTTTAGCTGTGGAGAGCAGAACCAAGGCACGCTGGTTACTCAGGACTTCTTCTAGACCTGCTTCAGGAGCACCGTTGAGGTAGGCCGTCTGTTCCACGTAGTCACCTCTGCTAACCCCATCCAACCTTCTTACTATCACTCTCTGACCCTGGACTGCAAAGCCCTAAAGATCTGGATTGTCTTTCAGGAGAGATTCTCAAACATCCAAGTCATGATTGTTCCAAAGAGGCTTTTCCAAAAGCTAACTGGACTTTCTTCGGGTTTTTTTTTTTTTCTTGAAAATGTTTTACTTCTCATCCAAGAGGAACTGAAGAAGCTTCTTGGATGAGAGGCAAAATGTTTTCAAGGAGGAAAAAAAAACAAGAAAATCCAGTTGCCTTTTGGAAAAGCACCTTTGGGACTTTGAGGATGGAGCATTTCAGTCCTTGGATCGTTCCAGCTGTTCTCCCTTTGATGTACCACAGCAACTGAATCTGAAGTAATACGAGTGTCGGTTATGGGATGTATGGGTTATAGGATCAAGAACAGAGCAGCTTTAGTCTCGGCATGTTTTTCTCTGTTGCAGACAGTGAGCCACCCAATTCAGCAGGCTGAAAGAGGCGGGAAAGAGGGGGCTGGAGGTGGTGGTCTCACGGGGCCCTTCCGCCTCCTTGACCGTTGACACCCACAGTATTCCTCACCTTTAGCCTTCTTCGTGGCCAGGGTCCTGACTTGTGGGGTCTCAAGGGCCCAGCCCTCCCAGGAGCCCAGCAGCAGGAGGGGCCTGGGCTTTGGGGGGGCTTGCCAGGGGGGCCCACAGAGCAGGGCAGGCAACCGCCGGAGACCTCGGAGGGGCCCAGCCATGGCGCCACCGTTGCCCACCTGGAAAAGAGAACAGAACTTCGGTTAGTCCTTGTTAGTCTGAGCCCCGTTGCTCGCTTAGGGGCTGCTGCCCCACTCCTGAGGAAGAGTGTGACTGGGGGGTCCCGGTGGGGAGGTATTAGTATTAATATTAATAATAGCAATCCAGCTTGGCTTGCTTGGAGGTCAGGACCCCCGGGGGTGGGCTTCCCTGCGAACCTGCCACCCAGCCAAGCTGAATTTCTATTAATAATAATAATATTTTAATGTATCAATAATAACCTGGGGGGAGGAGAGCACAGATCCCCCACCCGCTTTGGAAGCGGATTAAATCGATACTTGCCAAAAGCTGCCTTCTCTCCTTCCGGGCCCGCCCACCGGACTCCCGGGACACGCCCCCTTCGGGACACGCCCTCTCGGTGCCTCTCGCTCTCTTCCCCGCCCCCCCCCCGACTACCCCGCTTCCTCGCCTCGGTGCAGCAAGCAGAGACAGGCAGCGGGGCCGTCGCGCGGCGGTGACGTCATTCCTCCCGCGCGGCGGCTGACGTCAACGTCCCTCGCCCCGCGCCTCTTGGCGCGCAGGAGTGACGCGCGAGTGGCCCTCCCGGGTGAGACGCGGAGGAGGAGGAGGCGGCGATCGCGGAGGGAGGGGAGGGGAGGGGGGCGCACTCTGCACGTGCCCAGGGGCGCGGGGCCTCCGCTGACCGATCTCCACCGCTGTCCCCCTCGCTAGGCTCCGTAGGGCGGGGGCGGCGACCCGGGCGCCCGTCTGGCTGTCGGGGACCCGGATGGCGGGCGCGGGTCGAGCCCCTCCGCCCAGCCTGCGCCTGGAGAACGCCTCGCTGCTGTCCGAGGGGGCCCTGCAGGACGGGCACCGCCTCTGGATCGGGAACCTCGATCCCAAGATCACCGAGTGAGTCCGCCGGGCGGGCGCGGGGGGGGAGGCGGCCCCTCCCGCCGGGCAGCCGGATCTCCCCGGGGTCGAGCTCAGCCTCGTTCCCAAGACCGTGTTTGGCAAGACGGGTGTTCCCTGCCGCCCCCTCCCCTCCAAGGCCAAGAGACCCCCCGCGCTTCCCCTCTTCGGGCGGCTCTGCTTATGGGCCTCTGCCCCTCGATCAGGACCCTCGGGGGGCTCCGTTTCTGAGCCCCCTTCTCTGCCTTGGAGGGCTGGCCTTTGTCCCCTCCATGCGGACCCGGGCAGCCCCCTCCGAGGGGCCAGAGGAAGCCCCCTCCCCGTCTCTAAGGCTGCAGCTGCCTGTGCGAACCTCCCCCCCCCGGCTCTGTTTCTGGTGGCATCAAAGGCGAAGTGGGTGCGCGTTTGACATTCCCTTGGCCTCCCGTGATTAGTGCATTTAAATTGCCTACTAACGTGTTTGAGCCCCTTGAAGTGGGGCAATTAAACACCAGAGAGGAAGAGGAGGAGGAGGTGAGCTTGATTGCCAGGAGGGAGATTAGCTGGCGGCGTTGGGGCAACCGTTTTCCCTCCCTCCCCCCTCTCCACTTTGCCAAACAATCTCCGATTTATGCATTCCAAGTGGCTGTCTTGTCTTATCTCCCCGATATTGTCTGCCCCTCAGCTGTGGAAGCAATTTTTGCCCGGCTCTGTCTTCTTCTCCCGGCAGCAAGTGCTCTTTTTTGTTCCAAGTGCTCTTCCTTTCAGCTGGGCACAGTCCTAATCGTGCCTCTAAGTGGGAATCCGTCATTAATGCCCTCTTGAGGAGGATTCATTCAGGGCTGCGCTAACTGGCCTCTTCTCTGTTTTGCATTAATTACCATTTTTTGGCCCAGTGTTTGTATTGCGGAGACTTCTGGGGGTTGAGCAATTTGTGGCGGCTGCTCAGCTGACAGGCGCTTACAGACGAGGCTTTTCAGCACATGAATTTGTGTTTTGTGAAGTTTTTGGAAGTTAAAAGCATCTCTTGAGCACAAGCTTACAGACGGGGCCAGTTGGATTGGCAGGCTTGGGAATCTGTCCCCAAAAACAGGCATTGTATGGATCACTGCGCCGGCTATTGCAACAGTCGCTTAGAATTTTATGTTCTGGGAAATGCTGTGCCATCTGATAGAGCCACGAAAAGGTCTCCCAACCAGGTGCAAAATGGAACACTTGGTGCCAAACTCATTTATGTTTTATGCCACAACAGAGTTTATATCCTTCCTGCGTTCTGCAGTTTGCATTCTGGCTCACTTTTACTTTTGTGAGTTTCGGCTTGATTCCATGTACCTCTCTTTCAGGTGAGAATTCTGTCCTGCTGTGATAAAGCCTGTTGCATTGCAACCGTAAGGGAAGCGAGTGGGGCCTCTTTTGCAGGCGAGAGGCCTCTCCGCCTCTCGCTTCAAGATCCACCCCGAGGAATTGTCCGGGCCTAAATGGCTTTAGCATGTGGCTGGGACCATTCCCACATCCTCAGACGAGCATTGTTTGAAGCAACCTTCAACTCGGTGTTTGAATAGCGCTCAGGGTGCCAGGAGGAAAACTGGCGGAAAAGGAAACGGGACTTGGACAGATTGTCTTGCATTTTTGGATGGCAGGAAGTAGGAACGGGGCCTACTCTCCTTCCTCTGCCTGGGGCTTCTGGTCCCAGGTACCCCATCAAAATAGCTCTGGCAATTTTCAGCAGCCCGGCTTCCTGTTCCCTGTCTGTAATGCAGCTCTCTCGTTACTCAGAAACTATTTTAGCACTTTGTAAGGAATTGGGCAGAGAGAGGAATTTGTAGAACAAAAGCTTACAGGTAGCTCCTTATCGATAAAGCAAGTTCTGTGCAAATTCTTAGTCCCTTCAATATGACTTGAAATTCAGATGACGGCCATGGCTGTTTTGTTGATTATCTGTCTGGCATGAGAATTTGCCCTAAATAATATTTTTATTCTTTCCTTGAGCATCCTGGAGTTGAGTGTCATAGGTTCCACAATAGGTATCTCTGTGGGGGGAGATTGTCATATATTATCCAAAGATTCAAACTCCTGCCTGTCATTTCTTTTTCTTTAGACTCCAGATAAGTTCATCTTGTAATGGAAGAAAGTCAGAGCTTGTAAAAATGGGCTTGGCAAAGGGAGCGAAGAAAGATGCCAGGACATTCTTAACTGCCCCCACCAGAATCCTGCCATCACCAACTCTGGGGACTAACTGGCTCATTACCTGGCATTCGGGCTGACGTGATTTAGCACTTCCCTGCCTTTCCTCTGGCCTGGAATTTAAGCAGGGAGATTTGGAAGCTGCTGCTTCCTTCCAGAGACAGTGCAGGGAAAGCCCCACGTTGAGTTCGGAGGAATTTCAGGCTGATGAGCCCAGCCGTGCCAAACAGGCCACAGGGTTGCCAAAGGAAATCTAGTCAGATTCCTCAAGGCGAGTTGCTCAATGCTTTTCGTTTGGAGAACAGGATGAGCTGCGGCCATTTGGGACTAAGGAAAACAAGCACATTTGCCAAAGAGAGGAGATAATGGGTGGGGGGCAGGAGGCAGGGGGCAGAGGGAGAATAGGGGTTTATGCTTCTAACAATAGCTAATAAATCTTGAGATGGCTTCCAGAAATAAATAAGCCAACATTGTATGGTGTATCTTTGTGGCTCAAAATGTTTATCGAATTAGCTGTCATGTAAGAATAGATTGTAGAAAGAAGAGTATTATGATCTAACTGTAGAGAAAGAGCTTAAGTAACTGTACTTATAATTGCCATGAAGAAGATCAGAAGCCACCTCTTTTGTGCCTTTTTTCTTAAACTCTTTTCCCACACTTTTTGTGTGCATGTGTGTGTGTGTGGGTATGTAAGTAAAACAGATTAGCTGCCATTTGGTCGTGGCAGGAACTTTCAATTTGCAAAAGTTTGCATGACTCAAGCTGGACCAGCTTCTCTCCCCCACCCCCACCACCCCAGTTCCTGGGAAATATCTGTGACTACCTGCTTTGGGAGACTGCTTCAATTCCTGGAGATTTCTCAGTCATTTCAAGGAAATGGCTGTGTTGCTGGGAACCCACAGGAAGAGATACAGCTGGCCAGGGAAGCTGCAGATTCCCTTCACTCCCCAAAGGTCTCCAATGACCCCATATTGGCCCTACAATATTCCATTTGGCCACCTGACCCTGGATGTCAGCTTTTGGCCACGGTCCTGAAATGCCTTCCAGCAAAAAAAAAAAAAAAAAGGGGGGGGGGCAAATACTGCTTTTCTTCTTTACCTTTTTGTTTATAATTTGGAGTGAGGTGGGCTTCTGTAACAGAATTGTTCACCCTTTTACCCTCTCTTCCAGATATCACCTTCTCAAACTCCTGCAGAAGTTTGGCAAAGTGAAGCAGTTTGACTTCCTCTTCCATAAGTCAGGGGTCCTGGAAGGGCAGCCCAGGGGCTACTGCTTTGTGAACTTTGAGACCAAGCAGGTAGGTCGAACCTTTGGTTGATTCAGGCCTTCGTCTCTTGAGCCCAACAGCCTCTTCCTCCTCCTCCTCCTCCTCAATATTCCATCACCTGAACACCATTTGCTCTGCTTGGCTGGGGACTCAAGTGGCTTTTGTCCCCTCACCCGTTTCCAAAAGTTTTTGTAGGGAGCCGAAGGGCTAAAACCAGGAATTATGGAAGGGTTGGGAAGGCAAGGGGATGCTGGCTGTCTTCTTGGTCTGCTAGTACTCGGTTGCTCAAAGCAGCGTCCTGCGTTTGATGCCTTCTGCAGGCTCCAGCCCTTGCCATCCATTCAGGTCCATAACTGTCTTTGAAAAATGACAAAATCTGACACTGAACTGTACTGAAAAGCCAGAGCTTTTCTCTCTGCTAAGTCTTTTTCTCCTACAGGAAGCGGAACAGGCCATCCATTGCCTCAACGGGAAGCTGGCGCTCTCCAAGAAGCTGGTAGTGCGGTGGGCCCACGCCCAGGTCAAGGTAAGCTGCTCCCCGTCTCTGTTGGTGTTGGAGAAGGCCGCGCTTTCTGCCCCAGCAGGCTGATGTCCTTCACATCTCTGTGAAGTTGGTTGGGCTGCACAACAGCAGAACAGAATGTTATTCTGTTGGAAAGGACCTCGGAGGTCTTCTGACCCAGGTCCAATCCCTGCCAAAGCAGGAGACCCTCTACCATCCCGACTGTCCAGTCTCTTCTTGAAAACCTCCAATGATGGAGTACTTACAACTTCCACTGTAGGCAAGTCGTTCCCCTGATTGATTGTTCTCGCTGTCAGGAAATTTCTCCTTAGTTCTAGGTTGTTTCTCTCCTTGATTGGTTTACCTTTCTGTCCACTCCACAGTCTTCAGGAAGGCTGCCTGGGGCCAGTTCCAAACAGCCACAGAGGCAAAGCCCTGTCAGAATCAACCTCTGGGCTTAGCCAATATTACTTGACCTCCTGTGTGTTCCTTGAGGTTCCATCGTTGCTAAAAATGACCCATTGGTGCCACTGTCTGAAGGGCCAAAAGGACATTCTTGCTGTGGCTGGGGGGGTAATCTCTGCTCTTTCTTCCCCCCTCCTTGCCAGAGGTATGACCAGAATAAGAACGAGAAAACCCTTCCCATCAGTCTGGAGCCATCTTCCAGCACAGACAGCCCCCAGTCCAACCTGAGGTAAGATCTGCTTCCAATTGTAGGAGGTGGGATTGTCCTTTGGACTCAGCTAGAAAAGACAGGACCCCAAAGAGCAGAAAAGGGGTTTATTGTTCCGGGACATTCTCCAGCCCAATGTCCGGTTTCCCGCAGTTTAAAAGAATTTTCTCTCGAAGAGGCTGCAAGCTTTATGGGACTCACAGCCAAGCCGGCACACATGGGATTGCGCGATTAAAGAAAAGGGACCGGCGGGAGGGTGTGGCTTGAACCCAGGGACAGCCCGGGGGGAGGAGCTCCTGCATGCACTAAACGGGCAGACGTCTCAGTCTCCTCTGTTATTCACTCTGCAGCGTCAGCACAAAAATCAAAGCCATTGAAACCAAGCTGAAAATGATGTCAGAGAATCCCGACGCCGAGTTCCCACCGGCAGCCCCTTACACCTACTTCAAGGCCCCCGAGAAAAAACGGACTGGCCCCTACTCCAGAGCGGCTTGGAAGTCCAAGAGATGATGAGCGGCTGCGGTCAGCAGCGTCCTCTGGCGCTCCGGGCAGGTGGGAGGTCAGCTAGGAGGAAGCAGGATTGGCACGGCCCCATCCTGGCCTTCTGTGGGACTGCTGGGATTCTTCCTCTGCACATGTGGAGGTCAACTCTCTTCCGAGTAGATCAACTGTAATGCCGCCCATAAAACTGTATAGAACATCTCCAACAAACTCAACTGGTTGAGTAATAAAACCAGATTTTTTTTTCCCCATGTGGCTAGCTAGATCCAGCTCCAAAGTGCAAGATGTGTGTGTGTGTGTGTTTCAATATGTTTTCGCCACTTCAGTATTTGTTCTGACCTGAAGATAACAAAAAGTCCGGATGAACTGATGGTCTGCCCAGAATATTATCTCTGTCCAGTAGTGAAACGTGATTTGGGTTGCCTGATCTTTCCAGCAAGAGGAAATTGGAGTTTCTTGCACCTTGAAACCCAGGAAATCCCGAAAGGGGGCAATGAGAATAGTAATGTTTGTCTGTGAGTAACAGCTGCATTGAACACATCCGGGCATCAGTGTATCCATTCTTTCTTTTTTTAAAAAAAAAAGGAACATCACAGGAATAAATGTTAGCCCACTTTTAAAAATGCACCTTGTTGTTAAATTGGATCATTTATCGGAGTCTCTAACTTCAGAACTGGTAAATTAGCCATCCACATTTGGGTGATTTTATAAAAAACAAAATTATATATAATTTAGCATGGAGAGGAGCAGCCAAGGAACTGGAGTGAGAAGTAGCGAAAAAGGTCTTCCGTAGGAGCAGCCCGGGGCAGAGGAAGCACGCTGGGAGCTCTTGGGGTGAGGAGGCAGCTGGAGATGGGGGCCAAATGGAGAGAAGCCTCCACATACAAGTAATGAAAGAAGAGACACCCCTGATTCTATGTGTCATGAGCCATTGAGGGAATCTCTGGCTAGGTAGAGAAGAAGGGGGCGGATGGGAGGAGCCACACACCCCCTCCCCTGCCCAAAACCTTGTGCAGCCTTCGAGAAGACAGTGCCTGAACAATTTGGTAGGCATTTTACTTTTTCCTTTCGGCAAGGAATGTTTTTTAATGGGCATCTTCGCCCTTCCCCAAAAAGCACTGAGTGTTCTATTGGCAAAGGGGGAAGGGGGCTTCTGGATTTCAACCCTGGTTGGACTGGATGGGAAGGAGGCCTGAAGAAGTCCTGGGCTAAATTTGAAGCACTGCAGCAACTCAGGAAGGCGGTCTCTGCCCTGTGGAGAAGCAGAGTGGCCGGTCAGTCTTGAAATGACCTCCCCTCCTTTCCCTGCCCTGCCCCAATTGGGGGGGGGGCAGATTATTCATCTGGGGGCCTGTTCATCTCCAGTTACTTCCTCCAAACTGGCTTCAGGGGAAGTCACAGCCGGGCCTGGCATCTTCCCCGATTATCCACGCACCCCAGCTAAGAAGGAGGCAGGACACGTGTTTCCCCCCCTCTGCCAATTTCCTGGAGCTCCCAGGTGAGGCAGCCAAACTGGCCGAGGCCCTTCTGGAGACAGGCAACCTGTTGGATTGTCACCTGTGAATGGAGGAGTCCCGGCAGGTTTGTCCTCAGGCCAGGTGCTTCTACCTGGGAGGTGAATGCTAGAGGGCTTAGCCCAAGTCCCTCTGGCCCTATAGTCTTTCTCAGGCCCTGGAAAGAACTCTGCACGCCCTCAGGGGCAGGCTGTCCACTGGTTGGGTCTCTGTTGGGAAGGTGCAGGGGGAGAAACAGGCCAAGTCTCCCTATCGCCTTGCGTGCTCCGGCCTCGCCCTCCTCCCCGCCCCATTTAGCTGAAAGCAAGGAAGGAGGAACTTGGGGATGGGGGGGATCGTCCCAGGCAAAGGGGGGAAGGAGGAAAAAGTCCTCTCCAGCAGCTGTGAGTCACGTCTGGGCTGCCGCTGCTGCAGAGGGGAGCTCCTTATGGTGCCCCCATGTTCTGGAAGAACGAGCCCCAGGGCGAGCAGCCACCGGCTAAGGTGAGGCTGAGCCTGGAAAGCAGGCGGGGTGGAGTTGAGAAGGAGGAGGCGGTGGGAGAGGGGAAGAGAGGAGATCTGTCCCAGCATGGCAGGGGAGAACCGGGTTGCCCTGCTCTTTGGAGAACTGGGTCCCTCCGCTTGGGGAGAGGGAGGCCCGGGGCCTGTTGTTGGTCTAGGCTGGGGGAATCTGGGAGCTGGGAGCCCCCCTGCCCTTTTCCCCAGGCAGGAGGGAGAGTGCAGGTTTGGTCCATGGGGCAGGATGTGCCTGGATGTTCCTTCTTTTGGAGAGGGGAGGGGGCCTTCCAGAGGATGAGGTCCCCAGGTCCCCCCCCTTTCCAGGTAGCCCTTGCTGCTGGTGGGGGGGTGGTGGTTGTTGAGCGCCAGGAAATTGGGGGGGGGGGTGGAGGAAGGAATGGAGAGGCTTGGGAGAAGAGAGGTGCCCTTCTCTTTCTTGGGGGGGGTCCCTCTTCCCGTCGCTGGAGGGAGAGTAAGGGCAGCACGAGGGGCGCAGGAGAGGCTGGCGTGCCGTCCTGCCCCCCCTAGCCCCCCACCAGCCAGGCTGATTGCCAGGTGCGCGCGCGCCTCTCCGGCCCGGCGACGGCGGCGGTGGTGGCGGGGCTAAATGCAGGTGCTTCGGGGCGGCGACTTGGGGAAGCAGGAGGAGGAGGAGGAGGAGGAGGCGGCGGCGGCGGCGGCGGCGGCGAGGCGGAGGCGCGGCTGGTGCCGCTGCGGTTCTGGCTGGGCAGAGGGAGCGGGCGCGCCGCGGCTGCCTCCGGAGCCGCTGCCCGAGGTGCCCCCCTCCCCCCGCGCCTCTCCTCCCCCGCCCTCCCCGCCCGCCGCCACCGCTGGCTGGTTCAGACGCGCCGCGCTTTCCGCCTCGCCCGCCGCGCGTCTCTGGACGCCGAGCCCATGGCCGCTCGCAAGGTGGGCTTCGTCGTCCGGACGGGGCGGCTGTAGGTGGGGGGCTGGAGCCCCCCTGACGGAGCCCACCGCCCTCCGGCTGCCCCGCCGTCGCTCTCCTCCGCCATGGTAAGCCTCCGACGGGGCGGACGGGGCCGGGCTCTCGGCGGGCCGGGTGGGGGGATCTCCGGGGCTGACCCGCCGCTCTCTCCGGCTCCCGCAGGCCCAGCCCGACGGGGAGACTCTGGCCGGCGCCCTGGAGAAAGAGGAGGCGCGCTCGGGCGCCAGCACCCCCTCCACGCCCTCCGTCTGCTCGCCGCCCTCCTCCGCCGCGTCCTCGCTGCCGCCGGGGGCCAAGAGCCTCTGCTCCAGCTGCGGCCTGGAGATCGTGGACCGCTACCTGCTGAAGGTAAGGGGCGGGCCGGGGACGGCCGGGTCGGGCCGGGCCTCGCCTAGCGCGCTTCTCCCTCGCCCGCAGGTGAACAACCTGACCTGGCACGCGCGATGCCTGGAGTGCTCGGTCTGCCGGACGCCGCTCCGCCAGCAGAGCAGCTGCTACGTCAAGAACCAGGAGATCTTCTGCAAGGTGGACTACTTCAGGTAGGCGGGCGGCGGCGGCGGCGGCGTGGCCCCCCCTCCCCGAAAGTCCACGGCCGAGCCGCCTTCTCCCGCTTGGACGGGGCCGAGCAGAGCAGGCCCCGGCCGTCCGCTTTGCTCCGGATGGAGCGTCCCGTTCGCCTCCTTCCGCGAGCTCCGCCGCCGACCGTGGGAAAGGAGCCGAGCCGAGAGCAGCCGCTCTCCCTGGGGACGGCCGCTGCGGGCCAAGCGGAAGGCGCGCCGAGCTGGGGGTGGGGGTGGGCTGCTAAGCGTAACCGCTGCCCGGGAAGGGGCGGAAGAGCCCCGAAGAAAAGCCAGGCGCAGCGGCGGCCCGCGCTGCCCCTCGCCTCGCGGCCGAGACTCCCGAAGCGCCCTTCCGATCGCGTCTGCGGCAGGGCAAAAAAGTCAGCGCGGGGGGAGGGGAGCTTAATTGCGGTGCCGGCAATCTCCTCCCACAGCGGTGACTGGAGGCCGATTCCAGGACCCCAGCGCCCCCCCGTCTTCCCCCCCTCGCTCCGCGTCTGGCTCCCTGCCTCGGAGCCCTGGAAGTGGCAGCGGGCGCTTTGAGCACCTGGCCGTCGCCCTCCTCAAAGTCCGGAGCTTGAGCGGCCCGGCCCGGCCCGGCTGGAGCCAAAAGAGCGCATCGCTTTGGCGCCCAGAGCCCCGATGGGCCGGGAGAGGCGCTGCCCATCGCCGCCTCGGGGACCGCCGGCCGGCCGGGCGACCTGCGGGTCGATCGGGAGGGGAGGCGGGCAAACGGATCCTTGGGCTTTTCGGGGGAGCTCAGCCAGGCCCCCCCAAATCCCCGGGGCCCTTGAGGAGGGTGGGGTGGGCGAAACGCAGCGCGACTTTCCTTCCCGCCTCCTCTACGCGTGTTTAGGAAGGACCCAGGTCTGTCCGACGCCTTTCCGAAGAAGTTTCGTTCGGAAGATTCGGAAGGAATCCGGATTCGTCGGGGACCCCGTCCTCTGGCCCCTGCCGCTCCTGCCCTTCTCTCCCGGTCGCCCTGCAGTGGCGAACCCCTTTCCCCCGATCCAGGAGTGGTGAAAGTTGCGCGCTTCGCCGCCGGGAGACGCGCCTCTCTTCGCGCGCTGGGAAGAAAGGGAGCGAAACGCGGCTTTGGAAAGCCGGTTCCTACGGCGGTGCCGGCCTGGCTGCGGCGGCGAGGCAGGCGCGACCCCCCCTCGGTCATCGTTGCCCCCAAGTTCCTCGGTAGCTCTTCGACGGGCCGTTTTGTTCGGCGAACCGCTTTATTTCGTTGAATTCCGACTGGCGGAATTCTGTCGGCTCCTCTCCTCTCTCGCTCGGCAGGCCAGGCCGCTTCGGGGTTCCCCGGCGCCCCCTCTCCGCTTCTGAAAAAAGACCACTTTGGGGTCCAGCGCCTTTAATCCCGCGGGAAGCGTCCGGCCGGGAAGGGGCAGGCCGGAGCTGTAGGACCTTTGAGTCAATTCGGATCGGAATTCGCCCTGGGGACGGCTCGGACCTGAACCGCCGCTCTCCGGCTAGGAAGCTCCGTTCCCCCGTTTCTAAACTTTCCTCCCAGTTCGGCCTTTTTTCCTGGGGATCGGCTCCTTTCCGACGACGGAGGCGGGGGACGCGCGGCAGTCCTTCCTTGGCCATCGGGGTTTGGGGCGGGCGGTCGATGTGGAAGGGGGTTCCCGAGAGATCCCCTCGGCGAAAGGGGTCCTTTCCACCTGGAGCCTGGAGCGAACCGGCGCGGCCTTGCGCGGCCCCTCGGCAGGTCGGGCCAGCTCCGAAACCCGCCTTGAGAAAACCCGGGTTATACTTCAGCTCCGGGCGAGAGCTTCTTCCCTGGCCCGAAGGCAGCCGGGGCACGGAGGGCCGAGCGCTCCCGGCCGGCCCCGCCAAGAGCGGGAGGGCGACGGCCCTGCGGAGAGGACCTTGGGACCCCGTCCCGCCCAAGGCAAAGGGGCCGGCGGAGCGGAATCGGGGACATTGCCCGGCGGCGATCCCCGGACCCTGCCGGCTTCCTGCCCGGGGAGTTTCAGTCTCGTGGGGAGCGCGCCGCGGAGGAGGAAAACGGCCTCGGCCGCGGCGTCCTTCGGGGGCGCCTGGCCGGCTGCTTCTGGAGTCGTTCGCCCCTTCTCCGCCTCTCCCGGAGCCCCGAAGGGCCCGAGGGAAGGTGCCGCACTTGTCCCGGGTGATCCTAGCTAGGCGTGCCCGAGGGCGACCGCTTCCCTGCCGTCCCTCGCCATCTCTAAGCCAGGGAGACCGAGCGTTGCGGGCAAAACCCGACTCCGTCTCCAAAGGCGGTGGGGATGTTGGTTTCTCTTCTCCCAACCTTCTCTGGGTCCGGCCCGGCTGAGCCTCTGCCGTCGCCCTGCCTTCCTCCTCCCAGGCAGGCCGGGCTTTCCTCCAGGTACCCCGCCAGAGTGAAAGGCTCCGCCGCGCTCTGCAGAAAAGGAGCTCGCGGCGTTCGCGACCAGGGCGCGCCTAGACTTTATTTCTAATGTTTAGCAGTCGCCCTGAATTGTTATCTCCAACAATTCACCTCTGCTTTGCCCGAATTTGAGGGTTTTCCCAGTTTCAGGTGTTTAATTCCCGACTCACGTAAACAATGGAAAAGGAAAGTGAAAATGCACAAGAGGAGGAACATGCCACCCGTCGCCTTGTTCTCTGCATGTTAACATGGGTGCCGGAGGATTAACTCTTGGGCTAGATTTCTGAAATTGGAGGACACCTTCGCGATGGCCCTTTGAAGACCGAGGGAGCTTAGCAAAATTGCAGGGCTCTGGTTCCGGACGGTAACGATGGCGGGGCTGGTCTTGGGGCAGCCGCAATTGGGTCAATGAAATCAAATTATGAGGAGGTTAGGAGCACAGGCGTCTGGTTCCTCAGCACAGACGGCACGGAAGGTCTGTTCGCTGGGCCCGTCCTTCCTTCCTTCCTTCGAGGTTTCAGCTTCACAAAATTGTCCCTGGAATTGAGGAAGGGGCTTCTTAGCCCTCCCCACCTGCTTTGAATGAATCCACCCTTGCTGATTTGGATTAGGTTCGTTATTATGTCTTTGGAAATCAATTTATAATTATCAGATTTGGACTGCTGAGGAATAACTTGACAGGGCTCTGGTGGTTTCTAGAAATTCTGGGTAATATTTTTTGTCTGGGGACAATTGGTTTCTGAAAGACTTTGGAATGCAGAATATCGGTCTGCTGAGGTGTTCAGCCAGTTGTGGATTTACAGGGTAGTTCTGTGCAAGGCTATTAACCGAGGACCACAACAGACATGAGGGGAAAGCAGTTGTACTTGTGGACAGACATGCCCAGAGGATTTACCCTGTGGCCACTATCCTGCCGTTATTCATGGAGACCCATTTGGGACAGTGGAATTTCTTCTTAGTACAGTAGATTTCTGTTCACGGTGTAGTCAATTGACATTTTCTTCTTGGTTTTTTTATATTCACATTTTTCAGAAAGAAAGCAAAAGAAGGAAATTCTTTCCGTTGTGTTAAAGATAATTTCCAGCATTAGATAGATGGACGCTGGCAACGCAGGCAGAGAGGGGAGAAAGATTCATTCAAGGCTGCTTGCAGGATCTACAATTCGTGAGATAGAAAAGCTACATGGAAGCAGTTTTGTGGTCTGCCAGACATTTTAGTGCAAATATTATCAGTTATTCCTCTACCTTATTCAGTTATTCGGTTGTTCAGTTATAATAGAATCCAACAAATCCTTTCAGCTATCTGGATAAAGCAGAGGCGGTGGGGACAGAGCATGCCTTAGTTTCTTTTAAAAACTGAAACTGCTTTTACTCTGGAAGGCCTCAGAACACTTTCTGGTCCCAGCCATTTTTGGAAAGAAAAAAAACCTTTCCTTTTTATTCCAGCTTCTTCCACGCTAAGTCCTGGCATTCAAAACGGGTTCTAGAGGCTTTTGTTTAAATTAAAGGCATCCTGATTTCACCTGGTGCCAAATTTAAGTGCAGAGCACTAATTTAAACCTGAAAGCAGGACTGTTTCTCTATTGTTGTCTGGCTGCATCTGCAGAGCGAACGCTGCAGGAGAATTTCAGGGCAGCAGTTAGGCTGTGTGAGATTGGTGGCCCCCTCGCCCTGTATCTGCTGCCCCTCCACCTTGCTTGGGCTGAGAGAACGGATCCCGAGGCTTCTTTAGAGGTCTAATAACTAGGATATTTGCCCTGTCCCATTTTAAGAAACATTCAATAATAAGCCATCTGCTTACTATATCATATTTACTTTGGCTGCTTTAGCGTCTGCCAGGTTTTATTTTGTTCTTCTTGTCCTTGACGATTCTTCAAAGTGCTTTGAGCTTTTTTTATTTTTAGCGTGCTTTAAATGACCGTGCCCATACAGGACAAGTTTTTACAAAAATAGAAATTCTTTGTTAAATTTTTGGGAAAATGTGTTAGCCTAAATTGCCGTTAAAAAAGAGAAACAGTCTTTAGAAAGGCACGTCTCTGTGTGTGAAGCAGAGACTGCAGAAATACATAATTAAGGAATGGTATTGAGTAAAAATGCCCGCTGTAATGAATATCAGCTATAATCAATGTGCTGAAATCTATTAATTGGAAACCTTGGCAACTTCTAGTTGAGATTTGAATACGGAGTAAGATAGGTGGTATAAATCCAGCAAAAAAAATCTTCTGTCTTTGATGCAGTCTGAAAGAGCAGCTATTTTGTTGACAAAGATCTGGGCTTTTCCCAAAGCAGGAATGAAAAATTAATTATCATGGCCCTTTGTTTGTGCAGGCATCTAAACCAAGCATCCCATCATTGGCTCACTACATTCCCCATATGCAAGAAATTAGACATTGGTCCCTCCCTTTTTCTGTCTCCATCCCCAACCTCCAAAGAGAAATTAAAAATTAAAAAACCACTGGCATTGGGTCTGCTCTGGCACAAAACCCTTTTAATCTGTGGGGTTTTAAAAAAAATTCTGTATCCCTTGGGCCAAAAGGATGGAGGATCGGATAGGTGCCAACTCAGGTGACGTTCTCCAGGACCAATTTCAGTTGCTTGTTACTGACCGTGGTTTGGGGGCCTTGTGAGCTCCCCATCTCTCTCTTTTTGGTAAAAAAAAACAAACAAACAACGGGTGGCTTTCAGAAGCCAGCTGTACTTTTTTTGGAGCTGAATCTTGAGAGCTTGAAATCAGTTGTTTCTTGTTAATTTCTCCAACGAGGACCCTCAGTCTGCTGTGCTCTGGCTCCCCTCGTGCAAAGACTCAGGAAGTTGGCTGGTGGAGGGGGAGTGTCAGAAGGTGGCTAGTCCTCAGCATCTCCTGCCCAGCCTCTCACGGCCACCTGCGGCTGTGTGCATTGCGCTTCCAAGCAGCCTGTGATCACTCCAAGAAGTGAGCCAAAGAATGTATTGTGCATACATTTTCCTCCCTCTGCTCTTTCCTTCACTCGAATCGAGACTCCTTCCAAGCAAAACCCCGGAGTGACTGGGGTGTAGCAGAGGGAAGTCCTGAATAGGAGGGGAGCATCTGCAAAGAAGGGGGAGCGAGGGGCTATTTCAGACTAGGGCACCCCTGCAAAATTTGGGGAAAGGGACAGAAGTAGAGAGGATTGACACCCCAGAGAAGAGGGTGAACAACCAGCTTTTATTCCTTTGATGCATTCTTCAAGGAAGTTGTTTAGCAACTAGAATCTTGTCTGCCTTCCTGTTTTAATGAAAGGGAATTTTGAACCAGGACTGAAATATTCCTCCTTGCAAGAAAATAACCAGAGGACCCTATTTTGGGATCCTTGCAGCCTCCCTGTGATTTCAGCCAGTCTTATGACATGTGTTGTTTGGGGGCAGTTTTAGCTAGCATGGCTGCTGCCCTCTCCTTAAAGTCCACTTTTGATAGCATAAAAGCACAATTCTCAAAACATCTGCTTTTAGACCAGCCCTTAAAGCGATCTGAGTCGATGGTGCAAGCTAGTATTTATCACCATGTCTGGGGAAGTCTCCCATTTGGGATCCGAGAGTGCTGAGTTGCTGACGTTCTGCAGATCCTGCCATTTAGATGCTGGGGGGGGGGGGATTTGGCATTTCTGCATTTGGGGCAGAAAGTTGGAAGACGAAAAAAAAAAAAGATCAATCGTAGTCATTCGGCTTCTCCTCTCCTTTTCAGTCGGTTTGGTACCAAATGTGCCCGCTGCGGGAGGCAAATCTACGCCAGCGACTGGGTGCGGAGGGCTCGGGGCAACGCCTACCACCTGGCCTGCTTCGCCTGCTTCTCTTGCAAGAGGCAGCTCTCCACCGGGGAAGAGTTTGGCCTGGTGGAGGAGAAGGTCCTGTGCCGGATTCACTACGACACCATGGTGGAGAACCTCAAGCGGGCAGCCGAGAACGGTAGGTGGTCTCTCAACTCACCTTCCCTGGTGCGAGAGGAAAGGGACTGTGGCCCTGGTCTGGCTACAGAGCTTGACTGTGTAGCCTCCTCCATGTGGTCCTGAAGGCCTGAAGAACCTCCTCAAATCTCTCCTTTGCCCACATCTGTTTGACTTAGGCCAAGTGTAAGATGCCTTTTTGAGCAGAAGGTTCTCCATCCATCCAACTTCTAACCATAAAAAGTGCGAGAAAACCAGGATGGGCCAGGCTCTCTCTTAACACTTGACAGAAATTCCCCGCTTTTGATTTGGTGTCGGTTTCCTTCCTGGATGCTGGGCAGGTCTTTAGGAGCTGAAATATTTCAGTGTAACATGCAGATTGTAAAATAGCGACTATAAGCCCTGTAACATAACAGCCACGAGGGGGATCCACTCAATTTCCCCCTGGTGGCTAGAGGCACAGTGGCCTTTGCTTACCACCACTGAATGTGATTCCATGTCTAAGCTAGCATATATCTTGGATTTATCTTGAATTGCTCTCTTTAAAAATCGCAGGCCAGACCTAGGTTCTCCATGAGTGTGGTTATCCGTAGGATGCCCCCAGTTCTCTTTTCCAGGTTTTCTTTCCCACGTCTTGACAAAGATGCGGAGAAAAGACCAGGCCTGGCTCAATTGACCCGACACAACTTTGGCCCTTTCCTCCTTCTTTTTCAAATGAACGTGCACGGGATTCCCAAGAGACAGAACTTTGCTCAAGTGTTAAGAAGTTTAAAAAAAAAATCGAGATTTTTTTCTCTCTTCGTGAGCAAATGCAAAAAGAAAAAGAAAAAAAAGAGGGGGGGGGCAGAGAGAGAGAGAGAGAGAGAGAGGAAGAGGGTGCGCATGGACCCTCTTTGCCCAGCAGATGGAAACGATTTTCAGAAAGGGGGAAAGCGAAGAAGGAGGGGAAATCTGAAAATGAAAATAATCAATGTTTCTGTTTACAAGGTTTAAGCAAGGAGATGAAAACAAAATCAAAACAAGATGCCAAAGCGGGATGCGGTGGGAGGCTGGGAGGCTGAGTGCTGGCTTGTGGCGCATCCTTCTCCTGACCAGCCTGGCTTGGCAGCTGGCTAGGTGTGGATTTGGACCCAGGTTCAGAGGCCTTCTGGGTGGCCCCGAGAACGGGCTCTCCTTGACCTCCTGTCTGGGGAAGGAGAGGCAGAGGACCTACCTTGGAGGCCAGAAACGAAGGGGGTGGCAAGCAAGAGAGCAGAAGGGAAGCCCTCCAGGTCTTCCAGCCGCAGAGAAGTTTCCACGAGTCCTTCAGGGCTGGTGTTTCTTCCCTCCTGAAGTTGGCAGAACTTCTAGGAGGCGTGCCTGGGGAGAGGGGTCTTCCCACCCGCAAAGATCAGCAGATCAATGTTGACGGTGCCTTTGGCCATCCTTTGGGGCTCTCTGTCTTGCACGGTCATCCCAGGTGGCCACCCAGGTCAACTTCTCTTCTGCTCCCCCACCCAGTCGGGCGGGCCTTCAAAGGTGGCCGCTGTTTATTGGGCTGCAGCCTGAGTGGGTGGGAAACATGGCCCCCTCCCTTTATCTTCCTGGATGCCAGGAGTCCCCTGCAGGGCACTGTCTCAGCTTGGTGGGCAGTGATGGGCAGAGGCCAGGTGGCAGCTGAGCGTGTGGCCTGCACTCTTTCCTGCAGACCCCTGGGAGGGGACGCCAGTCAGCCCATCCGTCCTTCTGTCCGTCCGATGGAGCCTAAGCCTTCCTCTGGGACCTGCAAAGCGATTTTGCCTGCACGGGTCGTCCAGAGAAAGGAAAATAAACAGATGTTGCTGCGGCTGACTTCCATTAATCACCCCACAGCAACGAGTCAGCTCGCTCAAGAAGAGAAGGAAAGAGAATTCCTTCAGCCTGGGCCAAGATAACTACCTCCAGAGCCTTGCCTTCAGTCCCAGCCTCTTGAGAAGGCGAGGAATGTCTGAATGCAGCCATGCTGGTGGCTCTCTCTCTTAAGCTGCCCAGCCCCGGAGTTTCTCCTTGCACTCCGAAGCACACGGGGCTTAGAGGAACTGACTGATGCTGCAAGAACCCCCTTTCTTGGGTCTGACATTGAGTGGGGTTTGGCCCCAAACTCGACGCAAGCATGGTGTTGCTGAAATCACATCCCTTACGCTCCCTTGCCTGTGGACGGATTTTATTTATTCGGTTTATCTTGCTATCCAGAGTGGCTTGCAAGGCGATAAAAGCAGATGTATAAAAGGAGTTACAAATATAGGAACAGTTGAAAGGGAAGGGATTAAGTAGACTAAACAGAGTTGTAAATGCCAGAGTTGGCCTACAGAGCCATTTTCCCTGAGGAAGGTGACGTGAATGGCAGCAGGAAAAAAGTCACCACGTTGAAACCCAGCCCCAGAAATTCAAAGAAAGGTGTGTCGGCGGAGCCTCCAAGCACGCCTGAAGTCTATCTGTGCCAGGAGAGGTCCATCTGAAAGGCTGGGAGGCTTTTCTCGTCTCTTTCTGCAGCAATGCAGTTCAGCAGATGGGGGACTGGACCTCCTGTCCATAAGCCCCGGCTGGGAGATAAATCCAGCCCTGCTGCGTCTTTCCCCCCCCTCCAAGGGTCCGTCCGGGTCTCTGCTCATCCCCCCTTCTCTTGTAGGGAATGGCATCACTTTGGAAGGGGCCGTCCCCTCCGAGCAAGACAGCCAGCCAAAGCCTGCCAAGCGAGCCCGGACCTCCTTCACAGCCGAGCAGCTGCAGGTAGGAAGAGATCTGGGGGGTGGGAGGGCTGAGGAGTGGGGAGGATACCACTCATCTTACGCCTCTCCGCTCCCCCATGTAGGTCATGCAAGCCCAATTCGCTCAGGATAACAATCCAGATGCCCAGACTTTGCAAAAACTGGCAGACATGACCGGGCTCAGCAGGAGAGTTATTCAGGTGAAGGTTTGCTTGTATAACCCCCTCCCCCCCTTCCTGGCAGTGATGATGTTACCTAGTTGGGTAATGAAATGTCTGCAGGAAAACCACCCATCTCAGAGAGCACCACGCACCCCATATATCGGGGGGGGGGCTACTTAGTCCAGCCGGTTCAGAAGCAGAGGTGGCCACCAGCTCCTTGGTCCTCTACTTCTGGGGTATCTGGTCACTTACTTCTCCTGGCCGCCCTGATTTTGTGTGGGCTTCATTTCCTCTGCAGCTTCCACCGCCCTGGAGGTGCTTAACGGAGGCAAAATAAAAATAATTGCCGGGTTTTTTTCTTCCAACCGTGGGGCTCCCCTCCTCCCTCTTTCTTCAGGTTTGGTTTCAGAACTGCAGAGCCCGGCACAAAAAACACACGCCTCAACACACGGTGCCGCCCTCGGGGGGCTCCCAGTCCCGCCTCCCTTCCGTACTGCCGGAGGACCTCCACTACTCCCCGTTCAGCGGTCCTGAGCGGGCCAGGATGGTGACCCTCCACAGCTACATAGAGAGTAAGTGGAGGACCGGGGGGCGGGGTAGTGCTGGCCAGACTTAGGAGTTACTGCCGCAATTATTTTGCTGGAAGTGGAAAGGAGACCACAAGGAGGAGAACAAGAGAAAAGAGGTGGAAGGTTAGAAGTCGAGGGTGTTCCCAGTCTGCAGCTTTGCCAAAATCTTGATTTTCTGCATCAAGGGGTCTCTTCTTGGGGAGGGGTGAGATGGGCCCCCTTTTCCTGCCAGACCAGAGGGTTGAAGAGCATTGGGGGCCAAACCTGAGCAACACAGTCCCCTCCCCCATGCAGGATGAGCCCCCAAAGCCAGGAGAAGTGATCAGCAAAAAGGAAGGAGCTTTAGTGTATTTGCAAACACACAAGGTAGCAGCTTTCCTTGAAGTGATAGCGAACAAGGTTTTCTGCACCCTTGGTGTTTCTCTCTGCCTTTAAACCCACGCACTCCGTGGACAGTCCCCGGGTGGCTGGCAATCCAAGTGGTCATCTCTTCTTTGCAGGTCAGGTCCAGTGTGGACAAATGCACTGCCGCCTCCCCTACGGCACCCCCCCTGTGCACCTCAAAGCCGACATGGAAGGAGCGCTCTCCAGTAGAGGGGAGAAGGTAGGAAGGGGGGTCCGACGGTAACCAGGGCTGTTTCTACAGCCCTCTGTGACGCTGAGGGGAGCCCAATCCAGAAGCATCCCCCTCAGAATTTGGGGTCCAGAAGTAAGTCTCCCCCTTTCCCAGTGGAGGTTGTGGGGCAATTTCCTGCTCTCCTTCGCTTCCTTCCGGCTGCCTCTGACTCCGCTTGGCCCCCTGATCGGCTAAGAATGAAATCTGGGTCAGTTCACCTCACGCCTGGCTGCTTATCTGGCCTTGCTGGTGGGAAGACCGAATGGGGAGGTGGGGAAGAGACACCCTGCCCTCTTCCGCCGTCTTGTCCTGATCTCCCAGACCCCACCTGTTCTGCCCAACATTTGCTCCAAGTAGACAGCCATGCCTGTCTGGCCATCAACCGGCTTGTTTAGGGCACGGAGGGTCAAGTGCGTCTTGCTGGACGTCTTCAGCCTCCAGCCCTGCCAGGGCCACCTTCCCAGTGGGGGCATCTCACATCTGGCCCCCACTTCGGTTCTTCTGCAATGCCTCCCAAGCTTCTCTCTGATTTCCCCGGCAGGTGATCTTGTTCCAGTATTGACTCCTCCCTTTCCTCGACTCCCGGGACTTGTGAGGCCACTGCTGCTTAATCTCTCCACCATTTCCTCCCTGGCCAGCAAGGGACCTTCAGTCTGAGAACCCCCTCAAGGTCTTCTCAGTCTGGGCTTCTAACCTGGATCTCACTTGCCCTGGCTGTGGCCACCAGCCGCTGAGCATTCCCCGGTGCTGTTCTTCATCTGGTGGATGTGCTGGCTGGTGAAGACTCTGGGCAGGCCCTTCTCTGGGAGACCAAAGTAAGGATGTATCTTGCCGTCTGCTCCAAGTTCAACCAACGCAAGGACAGAAGCTGTGCCGCCTGGGCTGAACCTGTCCATTCGAACGTGGAACACTGTCGATCTTCAACCTAAGAATCAAGTCTACGGTAGAGTCAACATTCAACCTTTCGATGGAAATGTGGTTGGAAGGTGGAGACATTGCCCGTTTCAACAGAGGAGACCATGGATCTTGTTCTGTCGATTCCTTTTCAACTCTTCAGGCTTTTGATTTTCCTTGTAAGCAACATTGGTCTGTTTGGGGGACCGGCAGGGCTTTGCGGCCCTCAAACCAGAAGCTGGACCTGCCCTGAGGGGTGACCCTCCAAGTCAAACTCTTACGGATGCTTCTAATCCCATTGCCCAACAACCGGTGGGAAAATGTCTGTCTCCCTAAATCTTGGGAGCAAAATCCAATGAATTAAATCTCCAGCCTTTGTGCAGAGCTGAGAAAATGTTTTAAAAACCTCTAGTGGCAACATCAAACTTTGGAAAGAAACTTGGGGGGGCAACAGAAAACGTGGGACTTTGTGCTGCCAGGACTGTGGAAAAAAATTGGAACTTCTCTCTCTCTCTCTCTCTCTTATTTAATGGCGTCCGGCGTTCTCAGGTAGTGCTAGACGGAGCAACGGAGCAAAAGCACTTGGCCTTCTTCGCAGCCTGAAGCTTCCTCTTGCTAGGCTGGGCAGCTGCTAGGTCAACTGGCCCGTGAAATGGCTTTTGGGAAGGAAGGTCCTGGTTGGGGCATCCCCCAGGCCTGGGCCAGGGCCACCACCTCCCCAACCAGCCTCATTGCTCCTTTCTGGCTGGAAGGGCACGGAGGAGGCTCCATATTCTCCCAGGACTTCCTACCCAAAGACACAGGCATTGTTCTCCCTCCCTCCTGCTGGAGAGCTCCTGATCTAGGCAGATCCCCCACTTCTCCTTGGGCTGCGATGGCACTGATGATATTACCTAGTTGGATCATGAAACGCCTGCAAAGAAACCACCCAGAGAGCACCAAGGACCCCACCCTCCAACCCTGAGCTCTAGATATGCTCCTTTATTGGCATGACGGCCCGTTTCCACAATTCTGCCGCTTCGTGGTCCACCCGGGCTGCTCGGATAGCCCTTCACCAGTGCCCAGCGCGACTGTTTCCTGAGAATTAACTTGGAGCGCGTAGCTTGACCTGAAGGAGGAGGCCGCCCAGTTGCGTGTTTCTTGGTAGTCCTGGGTGGCCGAGGCATTGAGCGCAGGAAAGGAGGCCAGCGCAGAGTGACCCTTGAACTTCCTGACTCAGACGTCCTGCTGAATTGCGGTGGAGACAGAGGTCACCCTCCCTGGCAGCTGTGAGCGTTGCATGGGTGGCTCAACTGCCTTTCTTTCAACAGGAAAGCTTTGGTGGGTCAAGCAGCGGCTTGGAGTGAGCTGCTTTTTCAGCCCCTCTGTGCCACTAGGAGCAGGAGCAGGGACCCAAGGGTGGGGGGTCAGTCCCAGAGGAGAGGAAAGGTTTTGTCTGGTTGTTCTCCGATCCCAAAGCAAAGGCTGTTTTTTTCTTCCTTGCAAAAGTCAGGGGCCACCTTTTGACACACGGCAAATTTTGCTCCAATCTTGCTAAACTGGAAAGCATTAAATGGATGTTTTGATCCATTCATCATTCACTAAATGGGTGTTTCTGGAAAATGAAGGCCTGCCCCAGAAGAGGAAGATGGATCCTCTTTAGATTAGCATCTCGTTAGCCGATGTCTTCGTCCTGGGCAAAGCCATCCATCTATGTACATTTTAAAAAACACACAAACACACAGCTGAGCAAAGGTGCCCCCTGACCTTGAATGAGCAAACTCGGTGCATGCTCAGAGATCCTCCTGGAGATTGGACTACTCTGCCCGTAAAAGCCCTATTTTTGCCAATACTGTACTTCCAACAATGCCTCCAGTATTAGGGTAACTTAAAACATGAACAGAATCCTTCATATCATTCACTTCTCACAGTCACATTATGAAAAACTCCTAGCAAATTTGCTAACATCCTAATAGTGAGAGCCAGAAATTAACAAGATTAGTCAAAATCTATGTAACTCAATTCCCTACAAATAACACGCTTTGGAATTCAGCATGGATTGTAGTTCCCTTCATGGAATATGTTTGAATTTTCTATAGCTCTAAGAGCTGAGAAAAAGTAAGTAGAATCTAGTGGGATCTGGAAAGACAGAGGAGGTTCCAGAATTAATTTTCAGTGAATAAGAAGGGCAAAATTTTGTTTGAAAAGCCTGGAATAGTCACAACGCATATCGAATTTAAACGTGTTGGGCTTCTGGGCTCTGAAAAAAGCAGCTTAATGTCTCCCTCTTTCTGCTTTTCCTTTTTTTAAAAGCTGGGGTGAACAGAATGGGGAGGGGGGTTCACCAACTAAGCGGCAGACAGAGAAGTAACTGCTTGGCCTGGTCAGGAGAAGCTGGGGGTCCGGAGCTGCGCCAAATTGTCTCGGGGAAAAAGAGCAGACTGTTTTGTTTGTAGATTGTGGCAATTTGTGCATGTCTAGGTGAACATGGCTAAAAATAACCTTTGGAAGAACAGGCGGTCAGGACTGGTATTTATTTAAAATAAAGAGACGAGGGGTGGGCGCGGTGGGGGGGGAGGGAATAAAGAAAAAAAATGTAAAGCACTTTTTTTAAAAACAAAAGAAAACAAAACGGTCAAAACCAATGTTTGTTTTACTAGCTCCCTTTTACTGTCGTGCTTTGTAAATGTCTTATTTGTGTAATAAATAAAGTCAAGTCAAGTTAAGGTGCGGGCACTGACATCAAGGAAGAAGAATTCCCTTTTCTTTGCTTGGGAAAAACGCCCCCCTCCCCCGTTCTTGGTTCCTCAGCCCGGCTCCCCTTCTTTTCCTGGGGTCCTCCATGCAGATGGCAACATCTGGTTCCTTCTCTCCTGGGGAGAGGCCAATGAACCCAGAGGGCAAAGGGTGGTCTGGGGCTTCCGAGGGGTCTTTGCCCACCGGTTCATCTTGGGAGAATCTGACTGTAATCTCGGGTGATTGGCTCACCATTTCCACTTATTGCCACCGCCGATGAAAGGGAAGCCGTCCGTCTGTCGGGCAGGGCTCCCTTGGCAGGGGGAGGCCAAGTCGGCCTTAATGGAGCTCACTTCTTCGGCTTGAAGCCAACGCACTCGTCCCAGCCTTTCCGGCACGTCTTCACAATCCAGTCGTGCTCATCATCATCTGTGTGTATGTGTGTGGTTAATTGTGGTGGGGGGGAGACACAAAAGGAGAATTAAAATGGATTTCATTCAGGGCGGAAGGGGGGGGGTATGGCTCTCTTAGCCTCTCCTGGTCAAACTGGGGGGTTTTGGCCCCAGGGCTGAGCGAGGAACAAGGAAGACTAAGATTTAAGACATAAAAGAAGGATTTCTCAAGGCAGGGCAGATAAAAAGGAAGCCACAGTTTCCTCTTAAAGAGAAAGCAAATGTATTTGAGCTGGTAAAGAGGCCACTTGGGTGTCGCTTGCTGTTGGTTTAGCAAGGCAGATTGACTTGGAAGTAAGCCCAACTAGGTGTAAATAGGGTTTACTCCAGGTAAGTGGGCACAAAATTAGTCTAATTATTTGCCTTGGACGTGACTACAGTCTGATTGCCTTTTAACAACTCATTTAATTTCATCTAGGTCGTTTTTCATACTGTCAAAGCCTCAGCCTTTGCTCAGGAGATTTCAGAAAGCGTGGAAGTGGTGAGCTTATGATTTAATAAGTTTGAGGGGTTCCCTGCATTGATGGGGAAGAGGGGAAAAGGCCATTTTAATCGTGTCCACTGCAATGCTCTGAATCTTAAGCTCGCATATTTCTTCTTCTTCTTGTGCCATATCCGCTAATCTGGTAACCGGTTCAAAACTGATGCAGCCTCTTTTCCTGGGTTAAGGAAACAGACTCCAGGACCCCCAATAAATATATTTTCATTCCTTTTTGTCTCTGGGAACCCAGCTTGTATCCATGTCACAATTTTCCAGTTGTGGCCATGAGGTGAAGGGGTGGCAGCTGAACCTAGGGGCTACCCAGTGAGATTTTGGAGGGGCAAAATGTCCCCTTGCTGCTAGCAGTGTTCCAATATCTCAGGGGCTGCCCCAAAGAAGAGGGAGTCAGGCTACTCTCCAAAGTGCCTGAAGGCAGGACAAGAAGCAATGGATGGAAACTAACCAAAGAGAGAAGCAACCCAGAACTAAGGAGAAACTTCCTGACAGTTAGAACAATTAACCAGTGGAATAACCTGCCTCCAGAAGCAGTGAATGCTCCAACACTGGAAGTTTTTAAGAAGAAACTGGACAGCCATTTGTCTAAAATGGTATAGGAGCAGGAGGTTGGACTACATGACCTCCAAGGTCTCTTCTAACTTTATCATTATTATTTGCCACAGCTTAGGGCCACCCGCAGGAAGACAGGGCTGGATGCTGCATAGCCAGGAACACAAATCCTGCTTTGCAACTCTCTTCCAAACCTCCTGCGCTTGCTCTGGAAAAGGGCTGTGAGTCTGCCTGGTTGCAGGAGGGACCCGTCTCTACACTCACCACCTTCCCTGCAGGGAAAACCACCGAGACTTTTGACCAGGCAAAGGACAGGAAGCCAGGTATTTTCCCTCTCCGGGGGTGGGGATGGGGTTCTCCTGCTTAAAAGGCGAGGGATGCAAAGGGAAGGGCAGCCTTTCAAAGGGAAGGGAACTGCCCAGCCAAAGAGCAACTTGATCACCCTCAACTCTCTCACTGGACCTATCCAGAAGGACAGGCAACCCTCACGGGCAGGCAGCCGGTGGAGAGAGGGGGACGCAGGGGCCTGGCCTGGCCTGGCCTGGGTGGGTGGGGATAGCCGAGCGAAGGGTTAACGGCTGGGCTGTGCGCTGGAGAGGAAGAGGAGGCAGGCTGCCTGCTAATCACGCCTGCTCCCGGGCCCTGAATCGGTGCAGCTGTAGCCTCTTCAGCATGAAACAAGGCAAACTGGGTTTATTGTGCTGAACGAGTTTGGGTCTCCTCCCTGATTGTTGGTAATTGGCGGCCAGGGACTTAACAGCCTCTCGATCATCTCTTCCCGCACTCTACCTGACGGTGCAGCTAACAATTTGAATCACAGATGCCGCTCGGGCTCGGCAGCAGCTGCTCGCTCCTTAACCGCCCAGGTCCCTCCTCACGCCGTCCCCGGCAGCTTCCTCGCAGCTTCCTCGCCCCGCCACACCGGGGTGAGCCTGAAGAGTCGGATTTTTCATCCATATTTAAAATGGAATTAAAAGCCCGGACAGACACTGATTAGCGCTGCCAGACGACAAAGTTGTAATTACCTTCCTCTCTTTTTCTTTTTAGCTAAGACAATTGTTGGGCGATATTAACAGGAGCGCGAGGCACATCTTCGCCCTAGATGCGATTTCCTTTTTTTTAAAAAAAAAAAGTGGTACTGGGGGTCGGGCGGGGGGAGAAGAGGGGGAAGCGAGAATACAAATACTCTTTAATCAAGTAGAAATTATCATCCTGGTGCAATTAGGCGCTCTGTCTTTCGTTGGGGAGGAATCCCATCGGGACGCGATTAAATTCATTCTCTTTGCACCTCCTCTTTCCAGCGACCCCCGTTTGCACCCGAGGATGAGAGTCCCGGCTGGGCCGAGGAAGGGCCCAGCAGCAGAGCGGGTGGCAAAGACACCCTGGATTGGCATCCTTTGCATGCCATCCAAGGCAGGGCAGGAGAGGCCCATGGTAGCCATGAAGGCATGGAATCCATGGGGAGTATCCATATTTACCTTGGTTTTAAGGAAGCCAATTCTGTTATTGTAGAATCAAGATGACTTCTTAGCACAGTCCCTCAAGCTCTAATAAAGGTTCCCATGCAGAATAACAGAACAGAATAACAGAATTGGAAGGGAACTTGGAGGTCTTCCAGTCCAACCCCCTGCTCAGACAGGAAACCCTAGACCATTTCAGACAAGTGGCTGTCTTGTTAAGCATTTCCATGGAGGGAGCACCCATAACTTCTAGTGGCAAGCTGTTCCACTGGTTAATTGTTCTCACTGTCAGGAAATTTCTCCTTAGGTCCAGGTTGCTTCTCTCCTTGATTCGTTTCCACCCGTTGCTTCTCATCCTGCCTTCAGGTCGACCTAATCTCCTAAGAGTGGGTCGACCCCTTCTTCTTTGTGGCTGCCCCTTAGATGCTGGAACTCTGCAAAGCCATTGCTCCTGAAGAGACTGCCGTGATTTAATGCTAAAGTGGGGGAGTATCTCTGCTTGCTGTCTTCCTCCCTCCTTGTCCAACAGCTCCCCCGATGCCATCAAGACCCCAGCTGGATTCTTTCTAGGTATCCAGAATGGGGAGCTCAGAGCCAACCCTTGCTTGTTATTCTTGGCAAGCCAGGAATTAAATCTTTGCAGGTTTCAAGTAGTCATTATTTCAGGGCCTGGAAACCCAGAGGGTGGGCAAGGAGCCAAGCGTCCTGCACCCTGCCAGGAAGCTGCTGCCGAGGCCTGGACCCCCAGCCTGGCAGGGCTCCCCCGGGGACCTACCGAGGCCTTCCTCAAATGGGAGGGAGGCGCTTTTAGGTGGAGAGGCTGGGGGGGGGGGCGATTGGGACCCTGGCACCTTGAATGCCCACAGCTGAATCCTACCAGCTCCTCCTGGTGAGCCCTCACTGGCGGTCTGTGGCCAGGCAATCATGGAAAAGGTCACCCCCAGAACATGGGAAACACACGATCCGGATCAGACTGTGGGCCTTCAAGAGGCTGACGGGAGCACAGAAGACTCATTCAGGGACACTTTCCTAGTCTGGCTTCAGAATGCTGTCCTTCCTCTAAAATTTGTCCAGGGCTGAATTAAATAAGAGTGGAGAAAGCCACCCTGGCGTTCTCAACCCCAGAGGCCAGTTTGAGCTCAAAAGGTTCTGCATCTGCAAAGCTTCCAGTGCCGAGCTGCATGTATTTCCTTCTGACTCCAGGCCCAATTTTTGCCCTTGCTAATTGACAGCTCTGAGGAGCAGGGCTGCATGACGGACCCTTCTCCTCTCAAAAGGATTCCCTGACAAAATCAGATCCTTTGGGTTAGTCTAAAGGAAGCTGCACCAAGTGGTGATTTCTGAAGCAACGGCTGCATTGACCCATATAATGACAACCAAATATACGCAGGAGGAAGAGAAAAAAAAAAAAGAGGCACTCGCTCACCCATCCCATCTCTGCCATTCAGAGGGCTGTGCGATGGAAACCAGCACACAATTGACACAATTTGTTTTGTTCCCTGCCCAGGAGCAGACTCAAAAGAGCTCACGATTAATTTCGGCATAAACCGAACATTCTTGCAAACAGGTCTGGCGCCCGTTCTTTGAAGAATACACTGATTACCAACAATTTCTCAGGGCTTGCCACAAACATTATGTCTTTTGTTGTGCAAAAGAAAAAGAAAAAAAAATAGCAGAATCAACCATCTGGCAAATGCCCCAGAGCTAAAATCTTTCACACGGCTTATAATTCACAATGATTAAATATACAAAAGCAGAAAAGAGGAAGAAGGGAAAAAGAGAGTTATACTATAGTATGTTAAAAACGAGCACACACACACACACACACACACACACACACACAGACACAGACACACGGGACTTCCATTGCTTGATCAAAACCCAATGCCATCCACGGAAAAGTATCCGAGGAGGCGCACTCATTTATTTCCTTCCCAGATAATAGTTTCAATTTGCGACTTGCACAATTGCCATTTGAACCCGTCACAACTAATGGGGTCTGGGTGTCACAGGCTGTTTCCTGCCCTGCTTTTCAAAGGGCCAGGTGTGCTCTTGAGGGCAACCGGCAATGGTGCCAGGCCGGGCCAGGCCGAGAGAGAAATTCACGACTGCAAAAGTGCAATGGAGGAACAGAAGCAGAGGGCAGGGAAGCCTCGGAGTGGAAAGGGCTTATTCAAGGCTGGAGACCTGGGTTCAAATCTGAGGCCTTTGCAATTCCTCTTTCGAATCCCAGGTGGAGGCAGTTTAGTTTCTCTCTGGGGGGGTCCAGCTGCCCTCCAAAGCCTGGAAGTGTGGGAATCCTGGCGTCTGCAGGCAAATGGTGGAGGGCAGGGGCTGACTCAAGGGGAAAAGAGTCTCTTCGAACCCAGCTCCTTAGGAAGAGGGTGGACTTTCAGCAAACCGTCTCTGCTGTTGTTGTCCAGAGGTTCCTAAATATTTCCTGACATCTGTTTTTGATGCTTCCAGATCTGGCCAGTCGCCTGCCAGGGCTTTCCTGCCTTTCCGGTGAAGGAGCAGTCCTGGATCCGTTCCCTCTCATGGCTGACCCCTTCCTTGCATGCTCCCCGCCTCCCTTGTCACCTCGGTGGCCCCCCAGCCTCGGAAGACCCTCCGGGGACGGCTGGCGTTCCTTTAAGGGCAGACAAATGCTGCCGTTTTCAATTGTATCCTTGCCCTTAAAGGAAGGGATGGACTTTGGCACTACATCCCATCTTCACACCCATGTTCTCAGAGGGAGGGAGGGAGGGATGGGGGGGCACGCGTCTGCACACTGCCCTGCCACCTCTTTGCAAAGCGGGATTTGCACAATGGGCCACTTGTAATTGTTGTGAGGCTGTCGCTCCGAGTTTATAGCAATAGAAGGAAACGAAGGGGCGTTCAAAGCTGAGGTGGAACAAAAATTCCAAGGAGTCTCCCTCCCTCTCTCTCTGGGTTGACCGGTCACAATTCCTGTGTTGGGAAAGGGTGTGTTTATCTTACTCATGACGAGGGTGACACTGAAGCCAGGAGTTTGGCCTGATGGCACCCAGAGGCATTGAGAGGAGGTTGCAGGGAGGGCTTGGGTGGGAGACATAGCTCAGTCCCACCTACGGCAAAGTTCTGGAGATGTTGGGGGACCAATCTCACCGACCCTGCTAAGGTCAGGGCCTAGCCTGAGGGTGGGGTGTCTCTAGAGTCCAACCTACCTTCGGGGGTCTTAAGATGGCTGACCCCAAGGGCCCTCATTCCTCCCCACTCCTTTTCCATGTGAAGGACCCCAAGGCTTGCAGTGGTCTGCCTGGTGTTCCCCAGGACAGCTCAGACTTCCCTCTTGCTGATTTTGCAGCCCCCGCAGCCAGTTCCAGGTTGAAATGGACCCGGAGGATAAAGGCCTACCTGCGTTTCTCAGGAAGCGGTGCCGGTAATCCACCACCACTCGAGTCTTCGGGTTGTAGAAGCCGTCTCCGCAGTCATAGCAGCCGGGGGGGATGGTCCGAGGCGGGTCCAGGTTGGTCAGCTGGGAAATCCCTTGGAAAGGAAACGGAGGAAGAAGAGGGTGTGAGAAACAACAACTCTGGAAAAAAATAGCCCAGCCTTGACTGCTTTGCCCCAGGGGCCCTGATTTTGAGTTTTGGGAGGGTCTCCCGATCAGAGGGGAGAGGGTCTGCCTGCCTCCCAAAGAGGAAAAGCACCAGTAATCCCATCATCCGGTTGACCCAAGCTGTACCTGCTGGCTTCAGGCCATTGCAGATTTCCGTGTAAAACCTTCGGTCGTAGCCGTCGCAGTAATGCCATTTATTGTCTTTGTATTCCAAACCATCAGAGAAGGTGTACTTCCCCTGCCAGGGCAAATTCAGGGTTCAGGTTGAGCAGAACCAAGCTTCCTGTTTCTTGACTGCATCCCCAAGGATTGCTTCTTTCCCTTCTCAGAGGGAGTGAATGAGCCTGCCTATCAAACTATTATAAATTATAAAACTGTTTTATCAAACACAGGAAATGGGTAGGGAATGACCGACAAGGTGGGTAGAAGAAGTAAGACACAAAAAGGAAAAGAGCAAGGAATGGCGTTTCTAAAGAGGATGGATATTCTTGAAGGACAGTTAAAGTCCACCCAGTCAGTGGTCCTAAAAGGTCCTTATGGGACAATCCATTCTGGATCTTTGCTCAACGTTGTCTTAGCACACTCTGGTTTGTGGGTGTATGAAGCCCAGCACGCTTGGGGCTCCCACCCAGGAGGCATCTGCTGAGGCTTCAGAGATGGAGAAGAAAGGATGACTCCCCTTGGTAGGAAGAAGGTCTTGGGAGGTCCTCATAGGCCCGGATGGGTCAAGATCAGCTCCCACCAGTGTGTCAAAGAGATTGTCGCTCAAGACCCCCAGAGGGGCCTGGTTGAAGCCGTACCTCCATGCAGATACCTTTGTCCCAGGTCCCTTCGTATTTGCTTCCGCTGGGGAAGTACAGAGTTCCTTTCCCGTGGAACATCCCGTCCTTCATCTCGCCCTCATACTTGGTGTCGGTGGGGAGGGTGTAGGTCCCCGTCCCTTCCAACCTGGAGGGAGCCCAGAGAGAGTCAGGCATCCGTTCTACACCTCTCTCCAACCACCCAGCCCCCCCCCCATGCGGCCTGTCCAGGTGGGGGCTTCATCCTCATGCATTGCCCCCCCCTGTAATCATCACATATCAAATGTGTGTGTGGGGGGGTTAATGATGCATTACTCATTGGGCCTATTAATAGGCAGGGATAATGCTGCCATCCCCCCACCCCCACCCCGCAGAGCAGATTGCTCTTAAGAGAGGTATTAATAGCACCATCGAGGCAGACTCTGCAATCTTTACGGGCGATTATGATTTATTAGCGTTGCATATTAATAGACCGCCTGCACCGCATGTGCCCCCCCCCAGTCTTTACTGGGAGGGCGCGGCAGCCCGCGTCCCCTCAAGGCCTTCACGCGAGGCACCCTCCTTTGCACGTGAGCAGAGGCTTCCCGCGGCTACCTCCCTCTAACACGTTTGCACGACCCCCCCACCCCCACTTTAGGAAGGGGGTGGGGGTGGAAGGTAAATGGCGGCTCGTCAACGGGCCTACAGGAGAGGAGAGGCCCCGGGGGCCGCCCCGGCCCTCCCGAGGGCCGCCCCGGCTCTCCCCTGAGGGCCACCTCGGCCCTCCCCTGAGCCTGCGTGCCCGGCGCTACCCGGGAGCGGCGCGTCCCCACATGCACCTGCCGTTAACACGCTGCCCGCGGTAGTAGCTGCCCGTGTACTGCATGGCGCTGCTAGGTTGCGCGCGTCGCCGTCGCCTAGGCAACGAGGGGCGACGCCGGAGCGGGCAGAGGCGTGGCCGCGGCGGCGCCCCGCCCTGTGAGGGAGGAAAGGTCGGAGCGGGGCATCTGCGCCTGCGTGGCGCGGGGAGCATGCGCGGTGCACCTTGAGACCCGGCGGCTGCGGCGGCGGCGAAGGAGAGTTGAAGGTGCGCGGCGTCTCGGGCCATGCCGGGCCCGGTGGAGGTGCCCTCGGTGGAGGAGCTGGATGCGCCGGAGGTGAGCCGCCTGCGCCCCCACGGGCGATCCCCTGCTCTCAGGGGCACCCCGGGCGAGTTTTCCCACTCGCGTGACCCTCCGTGACCTCTGACCCCCGAGGAGTTGACCTCTCCAAGCCCCTCTGGAGGGGGGGGTCAGTCCTCCCCAGGGGGTCAGTCCAGGCCTGCATCTGCAGCGCCCCTTCCCTTGAAGCCTCCTCCCCCCCTTAAATAAATAAACACATAAATAAATAAGCAAGCATTTTTTGCAAAACATCTGCCTGTTGCCTGCAGTTCCAGAGCTTGGATTTTGGTCCTTCTCCTAGCCTGGATCTGAGAACCTGCAGGAAGGCTAGCCTGGCTAAGATGGGAGGCCAATAAAGTTTACAAGCAAACACAGAAGCAAAAATAAATAAATAAAATTTTAACACCCCCCCCTCCCCCCCAAAAAAATTCATTACTTGGGACTTCAGAGCTTGGAGTTTAGTGCTTCTCCTAGATGGGTTTGACAACCAGCAGGAAGATTGTATTTGAAGGGGGGGAAAGGTGGGAGGAACGGAATAAGAATTGATGAACAGCCAGGCCAGGCTGGGCAATCTGGGTATTTATGAATTTCTTCATTAATCAAATATATATAACCGCCCATCTCACCGAAGGCATGCAGAAGAAGAGATAAAACTGGAGGTGCAAATATAAAATATCGCAGTAATATTAATGTTCGTAAATAATTATTAATTTTCTTAAATGTAAACAAATAAAGACTCTAAATATTGTCTCTCTGAGAGCCCCCTGTTGGGGAAGAGGAGATGAGCAGAGCCTTCTCAGGGTTTTGATCCCCCATCCCCGTCCCCTCTTATATCGCTGAAATGTATTTATTTATATTTGTTATAAAATGGGCGTGCCCTTGAGGGTCTGCCAGATGGCAAAGTTGACGTCCTTGCTTGCTCCTCAGCTGGCAGTTGGCACCGCAGTCCTGAAGGCGGGTGCCCACCACTATGGCTCCCAGTGTGACCGGATCAACAAGGAGTTCATGCTGTGCCGTTGGGAGGAGAGGGACCCCCGGAGGTGCTTGAACGAGGGCCGGGCCGTGAGCAAGTGCGCCATGGACTTTTTCAAGTGAGCCTGCGCACGGTTGGGAGGGAAATTGTTATTAATAAAGGAGGGATGTTTGTAGCTCAGGGTTGAAATAAAAATTATTATAGTTTGCCACATAGCCAGCCAGATATTCAGACTGGATTTGGCATTTTAACTGACCTATTGAAACCTCCCCAAGGACCTGGGATAGGCAAATGTTGAAGTTTTAGGATGTTAGGGGTATCGCCGCAGGAGGGAAGCTGTTCCAAGCAAAGCTGCCTTTTGCAATTGACCAATGGGGATTTTGTCAATGGCGATGGTGGTCATATAATAAATTAGTGTGGTTTATTGCACAGTCAGCAAGTATTTAGACTGGAATTGGCATCTTTGTCCACTTATTGAGTCCTTCCCAAGGTAGACAGACGTTACTGTGCTCCTGATATTTTGAGGTTGCACCCATGTTCTTATCCCCCCCTCTCCCCTTATATCTTGGGACACGACCGCATTTTGGGATGGTTTTCCAACCTTTTATTTGCTTAATCAAACGCAGCCTCCTCTGGTTTATAGGCAGGTCAAGCTGCACTGCGCCGAACCCTTTAACCAATACTGGAGCTGCCTGGACGAGTCCAACCTGTTGCAGCTTCAGCATTGTCGGAAGCAGCAGCAACTCTTCGATGACTGCGTGCTGGACAAGCTGGGCTGGGTGAGGCCAGAGCTGGGACAACTGTCCAAGGTAACCGAGGACCCTCCTTGTCTCTTTAGGGCGGGTGCTCATGGATCGCAAATCAAGTGCTTCTTGCTCCTTTCCCATCATCACCCACTTTTCTCTAAATGAGCAGGAGTCTCCATGTAGATTTGGGCTCCTTTTCTGCTCCTCTTGTAGCTGTGTGGGCCTGCAAGTTGCACAATCCAAAAAGCTGTAGCCACTTTATAGGGAATACTTTCAAAGCCTGAGGGGATACAGGGGAGCCCTTCCTGCTTCCGTGTCTCATTTTATTGTGTGGCTATGTTTTGGGAGTTGCTTCACAGGGTTGCACAGGCCTCTTCCTATGTTGCACACTAAACAAGCCTTGCCTTCTGGCGTGTTTAACAGACGTTTACCTGACTTCCGCTGCACGTTTTCCAACTGAGCAATGCAGGAGATCCTGCGGTCTTGACTGCATCAGATGCCCAGCTGCTTCTGTGTCCCCCCTGCTCTTTCCCTCCGCTTCCTCTTCTAAAATGTTGTCTTCTTGCAGCAAGATCTTCCATTGTGATTCTTCCCTTTGCAGGTCACAAAAGTGAAGACTGTCCGACCCATCCCCGAGAACCCCTACCATTCCCAAATGAAACCAGCGGTCAACCCACCGACCGAAGGCGAGTATAAGCCTGCGAAATACGGTAACCGAGGCTATTTCTGGAGCTGGTAGGAGGAAGAAATCACACCTGTGCAGGTACACCAGCCACTACACGAAAACAGGCTTCCTTGTGGATTGTAGATTATTTTCCTCGATGTTGGATAGATCTTATGTGTACTGAGCGGTCATTAAATACATATTCCTTAAAAGTCCGACTTCTCGTGCGTTCTGTTGTGTGTGTGCGTGTTTGTTTGAAATATACAGGTAGAGAAATGATCTAATTCTGGAATAAATCTTTATGGGTAGCAGTAAGGAAGACCAGCCTTTGAGCTGTTCCAATATGGTTGTCTGCGTTTAAGGACAATATTACGGGTTTCTTAATACGCCTCTTCTTGGGGCAAATGTTTCCTCCTTGCCTGCTGATTTTTTGACTTCCTGAATGTTGTTTCAGTTATTTTGAGCCTCGCTCTCAACCCTTTTCTCACAACTATTAATCTCAGCTTTAAATTCAGGAGCCTTGATAGGGTCTTACGATATATGGTGACATTACATTCACCCAGTGAAGCCTTGTATCGAAATCTCCTGCTAAGATTCAAGATTCTATTTCTGTGAATCTCCTCATCCATTTTAACTGACATTTGACTTTGAGCTGCCCTCAATCTTGGTTCCCCGATCGAGGAGGGGATGGGTTCCCTTGTGCTGCTGAAAAATTTCCTAAGTTTGTCCATCCAAACTTTGTTAAACGAGGAGGCTCTGTAAACCGATGTGAGTTTGTCAGTCTGCAACACCTCTTGTGGCCAAATCATTATCAGAGGCAGTGGGCTAAACCACTTTGAGCAGAGATTTGGACCAGAAGTTCTGCAGGGTCTCTTCTGTCATTCTGTGTTCTGTAAATTTAACCAAGTTTAAAACAGCATTAGAAAGCTGCAAGTGCACTTTAGGGTTTCAGGGTGCCTTCCCTGGAGATAAATAGACCTGCAGATCTATTTTACTGCTATGGGCACATCAGGGCTGGGGGAGGAAGAAGGGTGGGAACGCCAGCCATGCCGGCATCGCTTAAGGTCTTGGCCGGAACACGAGGGGAGGCTTCCAGGGGGCAGCATTAAACTGAGGGTTGGTTGCACTGGAGACTCCCTGAGGTTGCGTAGTGGTACAAATCAGCAAACAGTTGTCGTTTCTCCCAGTTCTGAGAATATGAACTCCAGCTGTGCCGTCAAACTTCTCAGCTGAGGAAGACCAAAAAGTCTTGAAGTAGAAGTCTTGGGCTAACATAAGCAAGCTGGACTGCAAATATTTGCCTGATTTCAGTAGTTCTCGAACTATCGAGGGTGCGTGTCAGTTCCAGAAATACCGTTGCATTGTTCTCGTCCTGATCGTACATCAAAACTCCAGAAAGTACACAGATCAGGGCAGCCCCTGGAAAGCATAAATAAAACACAGGCGCTGCTGGGCTTGGAGACTCAGGGCTCGCTGCTTTGCGCATGGGGAGGGGGTCTGAAAGCTTTCCCTCCCTCCATCCCTGTTCAGAAGAACGAGGCCCTCCTCCCTCCCTACAGATGCTGTGGGGAGAGGCCGGGCAGGGGTTCCCTCCGTCTGTTCTGCTGTCTCTGTCCTCGATGATTTTTTTTCCCCCTTCCCGAGGTTGACCTGTGTGGAGGCTGCTGCTGACCCTTTGCCTTCCTGTGTTTAGCCAAGAGGGTGGGCCAGCCACGAGCTCCTGCAGCCTCACCCAGCCCCACCTTGGGTGCGGTGCCTTCGGGAAGGGGCACAGGGCTGGGGTCAGGACCGGCTGTTGGTGGCGGTTGGTCGCTTTCTGATGGCTGGATGCCCGACCCACCGGGGAGCGTCCCTCAGCTCCTCTGGCTGTGGATAGACGGAGCTCAATTAGTGTAACTTAAGGTCTTCTTGGTCCTTGTTGCCTAGGGAACCCCTCCAGAGAGGAGGTTTTATGCCTGCTTCCTGCGCCCAGGGTCTCCTGTTCTAAAGAAGACCCCCCGCCCCAAAGGAAAGCCACAGTCTGGTTTTCTGTCCTTGCCAAAGAGGACATTGTGAGAGTCTGGAGAATCAGAACAAGGTGGACCTCCAACTCTTTAAGCGGCACTTGTGGCCACAGTGGGCTTGAGGGCCTCCAGCGTGGCACCTCCAGATGTTTTGGGAGCAGGGCTCCAGGGCTCCAGTGGGGTGGCCTTATATTGGAAGGGCCAAGCGATTCGACGCATAATCAGTGATGCTGGAGACCAAGGCAGGAAGCTAGGTAGAGCTCTCTCGCCAGCCACAAGGAGACAGCTGCTGGTTGAGGTTCTGCCAGGGGTGGCTCTTCTCTTCTCTTCTCTTCTCTTCTCTTCTCTTCTCTTCTCTTCTCTTCTCTTCTCTTCTCTTCTCTTCTCTTTTCAAATCTCAAATGGTTAAAATGGGTTGATTTCTCG